ACTCGGGAGATGTCTCTCTCGGTGCTTGCGTTTGGGGCCCCTGCTGTTGCTACTGCCGCCTTTTCGATTTGGGGGTTTACGATAATCGGGGTACCTTATTCTTGTTCTTGTTACAAGGGATCGATCCTACAATTTGGGGTGTACAGGGGTCCCTCCTTTTCGTAAAGCCCCGTTTTTTTTTTGGAAAGACAGGAAAGGGACAAGCAGGACGTGGATGGAACTGGGTTCTAAGTACCGGTCTCTGCGTCTGGGGGCAGGTTTTGCTTATAGAACCCTCGTGCCGGGGCCCATCTCGTGGAAGCACTCATGGCTGCGACACTGAATGGCTTACCCCCGAAGGTGATTCCCTCATTATTTCAGGGAGGCAGGGGGCAGCTCGGTCGCGAGAAGTGCTCGCGACGTGGTCACAGGAACCCATTTGAAGATGCATCTGAGGTAAGCAGACATCCTTTCACAAGCTCCAAAGACTAGAGGGGGCCACCCTAAACCCGAAACCCTAAACCCTAAACCCCACTTCCCCCAGATTCATCAGCCATGGGTCGGAAGCCAAAGCGATCATCCTAGCTGTACGGAGCGCAGTGCACCAGTAGTGCCAGAGGCACGGACTATACACTTCGGCATGCATGTCGTAGGTGCTTTGTTTGTCACCGACTCTGACTCCTTCAACCCTGGGGTTTAGGGTTTAGGGTTTAGGGCTTAGGGTTCAGGGTTTAGGGTTTTAGGGTTTTAGGGTTTTAGGGTTTTAGGGTTTTAGGGTTTAGGGTTTAGGGTTTAGGGTTTAGGAGGTTATGGCTCATGCTGTCTGTAGACAAGTTGGCTGACTGTGGGCTGGATAGCGATGGGATGGCATTCCTGTGTACGAGCCTACGCTGCGAAGTAGTAGAGCAGCGCCTGCCGCTAACATGGCCCGCAGAAGACCTTCTGCAAGCAACAAAACAATACTCACGACAAGAATGCGTAAAACAGCAACACACGTGGCTGCGGTCACGCGATAGGATGGAAAATGCATGTGATAGGGGTTGCCCGAAAATTTACAGGGCTACTGTACTCGATACATACATACCTAATCTAGGAAGCCAATCTCATGGAATCATGGCCGTCTTCCCTTTTTCGGTGACAGCACCGACGCGGGGCATGCCTTTAAACAGCATGCCTCGTCCTTCGTGGCGTCCTCTTTATCGCAACCGGAGCAGGAGCTGGCGCGCGGCTGTAGAGTTTTTGCTTTTTGCTTTTATCATTGTTGCAAGAATAGCACGGCGCTCCGCTCCGGTTTAATTTCAGCCTGCGCTGAGTTGCTTCGAAGTTCGCGCAGTCAATGCCTGGCGAGTGACTGGGTACATTCCTTCAGATGATTCAAGGCACAGTGGGACTTCAAGGGTGTAGGCTTGCGGAAGGGGCGTGGAGGAGTCTCACTGTTGTTGCAGCCGGTGCTTACGAGCTCGCGTCTGTGATCTTTCTGAGAACTCTGAATTTCCAGCAGACTTGCTGGGCCGACTCCCCGCGCACCAACAAGAGCCCTCAAATCCTGCCAAAACACGGGACTCTTTGAATGACTTGACAAGTGTTGCCCCGCGCCGGTCAAAGAAGGCCCTCAAACCCATTAAACCCCAAGCCGTACAAGAGGAATCCAAGCGAGCCCGGCGTGACTTACCCGTGGCATGGAACTTCGTGTCGCAGCGAGGTGGCTGCGGAGGGATTGGGATGGAGGGAGGGAGGATTTTGTGAACCCGAAGTCTACTTGGAGGATCGGGGAATGTAGTAAGTGGCCATTAAGTAGGATCACCCAATCAGGGTCCCTTTGAATAATTTGAGGTACGTATCATCTCTTTGACACCTACTTACGAAGTCCACCAAGTATATTCTAAACCTAAAGCCTTGAACCCTCAACCAGGAGCCAGCAGAGGTGCTGGAGAATTCTGGCTTGCGTTCTCCTCTCCTTCACTTTGCAAACACAGCATTTTGCGCCTTTTGCAGGCCCAATAGACTCAATAGACGGGTTAAGAGATGGATGTGAGGCTTTAGCAGCCTGTAGCAGTTTCGCATTTTTGGGTTCAGGATTGTTTAGGGGTAGGGCTCTTCCAGTCATGGTCCTGCGCTTTGGATAGTCTTCCAGAGGATCTTTTTCTGCAAATGCAAGGCAGCCTAACAATTTCAAAGCCTGCACTTTCAGGGAGTCGCCACCTTTTCTTCAAGAGAAACAAGTCCGCTCTGTCGGACTGGTGCCGCAGACGGCTACAACTCTTGGTGCCTTTCGTCGGTGTAACCTCGGAGATACATGGGACATGTTCGTGCATCCGTTCACACACACACACACGTAAGCCCGCACTTGCAGTCATAAAGGCAACGTAGGTATTCACACACGTCAGTGGCAATCGTCCTTCTCCGGGTATCGCTGAAAACCCTTTGCTAGCAGGTCTCTTCTAGATACTCCTAAACCCTAAGCCCTCAACCCTAAACCCCAAGGCCTTAAAACACCGTGAGACCCTTGGTGCTTCCAGCCAGGGAGTACTCGTTGCGAGCGTCCCAGGACTCACCTTGCCACACACATCGGTGCAACTTGCATTGGTTAGGCCATCAAGGACTGCGCCAGGGAAAGGCAAGGGCAAAGTTGTGTCCTGCCGGCTTGCCGGCGAAAGTCAAGATTCTATACGTGCTTGGGTTCCTAGATGCTACCCTAAACCCTAAACCCTAGTATGCTGATTCTGGCAACTTTGTTGACTTTGTTGCATCTGAACCTGCAGGCCTAAACCCTGAATCCACTGCGGCCCAGTTACCGTCCCGGAGCTGCCGTTCAGGTCCCCTTAATCCCTCCATGGCGCAACTCACATCCTGGCAGGGGGTCACAGTGGGTCAAACCCTAAAAAACCCTAAACCCTAAACCCTAAACCCTAAACCCTAAACCCTGAACCCTGAACCCTGAACCCTGAATCCTGAACCCTGAACCCTAACCCTAAACCCTGAACCCTAAAACCTGAACACCTAAACCCTATAAACCTTCGCACTAAGCCCCGCTCTCCTTCGCCAGCTGTGCAAGCGCCGTGCTGTTGAAGACCTTCCAAGCGAAGTGTGGGTTTAGGGTTTAGGGTTTAGGGTTTAGGGTTTAGGGCTTCGAAGATCAAATGGTCCGCTGAGTACGGCTTCCTAAAACCCCAAAACCCAAGAACCCTAAAAACCCTGGAGCCATAGAACCCTAAAAGCCTGAAAGCCTGAACCCGAAATCCAAATTCCACACTCAGGCCACTGGATTGCCTTCTCGGCCCAGGTCCCTTCAAGCTCCTCTGAGTTGAAGCGCTTCCAGGCGGCCTGGGCTTTAGCACAGAGGTTTGTGGTTGAGGCTTTGAGGGTGTGCGGCTTGGAGGGTTGGAGGGTTTGAGGGCTAGGATTCAGGCCGTTTTGAGGTGTGATGGCTTCAGGGTTTGAGGCCTATAGGTTTTTGTTTGAAGATTCTTTGCTATTTTGGGTGTCAAGTGCACTTTTCGTCAGGCCCTCATCCCTACACCCTATAAACCCTAAACCCAGCTCAGGGCGAAAAGTCCAAGGATTCCCTTGCAATGGCACTCCGAGGTCTGAGCTGAGGTGCTTGCCCGAGAGGGGGGGGGAGGGGAAGGAAAGTGTTTCGCAATTCGTTTTAGTTTTGTAGTGTGGTGTGATTGTTTTTTTGGGTTTCCGGTTCTGTATGAATGGCTTGATTCAGAGCCAAAAACGATGAGAAGTCTTCAGGGCTTGAGGATGAGAGATCTTGTCTCGCGTTGCACGTCGTAGTTGAGGTGCTGCTCTAGCGCTGCAAGGCTCAGGAAGTATGCAATCCAAGCGAGACTTCTCATGACTACTCCACAGAATTCTCGACTAGGAAGCCCTAAACCCTAAACCCTAAACCCCTAACCAGTGGCCCAGAGCCCTTACCCGCCTTGATCTCGTCTTTCGGATATCGCTCTCGAGCTTTCCAGAACTTGATGAACGACTTTTCGTCTCAGCGGGCCCGGAAACAGGGTGCTTGAGCAACCCTAGATGCCATCCACCCGGGTTGGACCCCTATGGAGTCAAGTAGTTCAAGATGTTCCACGAAGATGTGGTCCCTTTCTTATGGGCTAGGTGCAGGAGGGCCAGTTCATGTCAAGACCACTGGGCTGGGTACATTCTTAATGCCTGATTGACCATTTTTTGACTGCAGAAATCTGGGATCTACCGCTTCGTGAGCCATTCTTCAGTTTGCGCCCTTTGCCCATGTGAGGCTAAACTATGGTTGAGGTCGCACAGTGCTCGAGGCTTGCCTGGACACCTGGTGTTCTGTGCAAGCTCTACACATAGCGGGCGTCAGGTAACTGCAAGTGTTCCTGAGCTTTCTCATTTCAGCCTGACTCACTTCATTCATGACCCACCACCCGGCTAAACCCACCGTTGCCTCCACTACGGGGCAACGCTTACCCATCGCGAGCGCAAATCCCAGAAGTCACTACGAGGCTCCACGGAGATCCCAGGTCGGATTCCCGCTTTAAGGCTGACTGTCCTGAAGCCTTGTAAACGCACATATTAGTAACCCCGCCCTGACTGTAAAATATCATGCGTATTCAACAATACGTAACCTGTAACATGCAATATACACGATATAAAGGAAAATATCACAGTGCGTTGCTTGTGTGAACGATCGTCCCCCTGCATTCTCCCCCCCCGCCCCCTCAGCACTAAGGCCACCACCGTGCGCACGCTTTGCAAGCGCTTCGAGGAACTTCTTCCTTCGTCAGGTAGAAAATTGACAGGGTTTAGGGTTTGGGGTTTAGGGGTCTCATCAGGTGCTACGATGTGGTTTGTGACGGATGAGGGCTCTACAACGCGTCGAGCCGCCAAAAGAGCCGCTGGTTGATCAAAAACCGGCTCCAAGCAGAGGAAAGTCAAGACTGTAGGTTTGTGTTCAGGTTCATTAGAGAAGCACATGCAGTAATATTGGGGTCGGAATCAATACTACTAGTACTCCCTTAGGGTCGCTATGTGACTGTACTATATTATAATAACTCCCAAAACCCCATTCTAACTACAAAGGTCCTTACAACCCTAACCCTAAACCCTAAACCCCAAACCCTAAACCCCAGACCCGAAGGCAGCTCCATCATACTCGGAGGCCTCCCCAATTGCCAGCCGAGTTTCCAATTGGGATAGCCCATCCTGGGTGGCAAAAAAAGCTGAAGCAAAGTTAGATTTCAGGGTTCAGGGTTTAAGGTTTAGGGTGCATGGTTTCGGGTCTAGAGTTCAGCGGTCATCGGCACTAGCCCAGGCCTGGTAAACCCAAGACCCTCACCCCGCACCACATGTAAGGTGGAGCTTGTTTCGCCTGTCAGCTCGCATGCCGGAAGACGCCCCTGAGAACCTAAACCCTAAACCCTAAACCCAAACCCGAAACCCTAAACCCTAAACCCTAAACCCTGGTGCAGGCCAAAGCTCTTGATGTGGTTCATGCACCGTGGAACCGCTTCGCTACCTGGGAACTCCCCCCACATCACGTCGTACTCACCTCAGCAGATCTTGGCTTCGGGTTTCAAGGTTTGGGGAGGGTTTAGGGTTTAGGGTTTAGGGTTTTGGGTTTTGGGGCTCAAAGATTTGTACATTGATGGAAGCTGCCAGCTGTGGAAGGCCGAGTTTAGCAAAAAAAGGCGGCCACCTCCTCCTGCCAAGTTACTCAAGCCAACGTAGGAGGGAGGATCTGAGCAGTAGCTGGGGTCAAAGACCTCTTCTGTTTGGAACCTCAGCGCAGTCTTAGGAGGAAACGCAAGGAAAGAATACCTGCGTCCTCACCTGTCCAAAGCTCACATGCCTGATTGGTTAGTGCACAGGGTACATGGCCCAAAACCATAAACCCTAGAAATCCTATACCCTTCTGGCAGCGCCAAACAGAGAACCTGCAGCCTTAGCTCGTTTCCCATAAAGCACTACACGATGGTGCTTGCAGGCTGAGAAGAATCCCATAGTTTTCGAAGCTCCCAGAACTGATACCATTCTGAATAGCGCTCTATATACATATATGTATATGTACATGTATATATATATATATATATATATATACATATATATATATATATTATTTATACATATACATATACGTATACGTATACGTATACATATACATATACATGTACATATACATATACATATATATGTACAGATTTTGGCTCTGGATTGCATGGGGCATATAGATTCAGAAATAGATACAATTACGCAACAAAGCATGCTGCGGAGGCATGGAGTTCAGGGAACATGCGTAGTCAGCATGGTGGAGCAACTCATCTTGAGATTTTGCAGCCCGGGTGTGCCGGGAGTCTACGGTGAAGGTCTTGTTGATCAAGCGTTTGGGCGGTGGGTCGAACTTTACATTCAGCACATGCATGCACATATGCACATTTGAGCTGGCGTGGAAGGTCCCTTCGCTCTCAAGCCACTGACCACAATGAGCAGCGACAACCAATCAGAAAATAGGCCCAGCCGACGACAGGTTTGCGGGCTTAGGCTACAGGACACGACTTTCGCCCTCAGCCCTGAACCCTTTAGACCTTCCATTCCACAATCCCAGGCCAGACACATCGTCATCAGCGCGATGTTCCGATTGTCATCTGCGTCGTCGCTCCTGTGGCTTGTCGGGAGCTTGGGGTCGCTTGGCTTGGGAGTGAGGAGGAAGGAGATTTAGGCTTCAGGAATTTGTCTTGGGAGCAAGGAGGAGGATATTCAGGCCTCAGGGGTGCTTCGGGTTTGGGGGTGTTTCGGGTTTAGGGTTTCAAGGTTGCCTCAAACGTCAACAAAAGTCATGCGCAGTGCAAGGACTACTGCAACAGGCTGCTGAAGCAAGAAACCCCAAGGCCATGCAAAGGACCTCATCTAAGGTCTCGAAGAATACTTGGGCAACAAAAATCACGCGAAAGCAGTGCCCTAAGACCTGAACCCCAAGCTACCCTAAACCCTGATTTGCATACTCAAACAACGGAGCTTTGAATGTACCATCTCCGCTGGCCATACTAGCAACATGCCATACTAGGTCCAGGAGTAAGGTAATAAGTAGGGCTAGAAGCTGAGTTAGAAGTATCCTTTAAATCAGGTTAACACCACTGCTAACCATAGCTTACCCTACATTATGAACCGCAACTACAAGCACCCATGAACCCTCCAAGTCACCCAATAGACCCTGGACATACTAACCCTACTCCCACATGCACCTAGGAGACTGTGCACTTCGCAGCCGAGTGGCCAGGAGCGCACGTAGTGCAGCAGGTGTGCCGGGGTGTAGAGGCAGTCACCTTTCTCCTGTGCGAAAGGCCCATGGCTTAGGGGCTTAGGGTTTAGAGCTTAGGGAATCTTAGGGATTTCGGGGCAGCATGCAAGGATCCGAAAGCACGGCTTCGAAGTGGCAGGGTATGGTGAGCCGAAGAGCTCGGAAAGCATGGAACTCAGCCCCCAAGAAGCAGCCCCCCACTAAGCCCCCGGCAATGGTGGTGTTGCTCCACCTGGCTTTCGCAAACTCGGGCCAGCGCTTCAAGTCCACACCTAGGCTCTGTGTGTGTGTGTGTGTGTGCGTGGGTGTGTGTGTGTGTGTGTGTGTGTGTGTGTGTGTGTGTGTGTGTGTGTGTGTGTGTGTGTGTGTGTGTGTGTGTGTGTGTGTGTGTGTGTGTGTGTGTGTGTGTGTCTGTGTGTGTGTGCGTATACGAGAGCGGGAGTGGTATCGTCATGATGTGTAAGTATATGTAGTGATGTCTTGTTGTGGACATTATCCTAGAAGGTGGTTGGGGGGGTTTAATGGAAGGTCGGTGGATCTCTCTACATGCGTCCACTACTGTGCATAGTGCGTCTAACAAGATCCCATCGTAAGAGACCAACCCCCAGCGCATTCGAGGCCCACAGCCCTTCAAGATTAATTGCCTTTCACGAGCGGCGCTCGCCATCGATGGGCGAGTCATCCGAGCCTCAGAACTCAGAATCACCCCCACCCACCCCCCCCCCCCCACCCAAAAGAAAACAATCAAACAGTTCTAAGAGTTGCTAGGTTGGGATTTTTCAAGGCGGCCGGTTTTCGGTCGAACCCAGACTTGGCAAACCCTGAAAAGCCTGACATCCCCGTCTAAAGTCCAACATTCCAGAAAGCCCAGGAGCCGTCCGGCCTTCCTTTGGATGGCGGTCGGTAGTAGTCATTCCACCTCGACATTCCCGGGCCCAAGGAACTCGGACAAGGGGGATGATCTTCATCACATATCTGGCTCCGGCGTCGAAAAGAGGCCATACACGTCCTCTAAGTTACATGAAATCCAAAGCCTTATTGAGGTCGGGAGCAGTCAGAAAGCAGTGCGCATCTGCTTAGCTGCGAAGCCGCATCGGAATCTTCTTGGATTCTGTCTGCAGGTCCCACATGATCCACTCCTTCTTTCCAGCAAAGACGCCTCGGATGTTGGGAGACCCCGCAGAATTATATCTCGTCTCTGCCAATTCAACTGCTTTGCATCCGAGTCTGAATCCAGTTCCCGTCGGGTGAGGACACTTATTCGGGCAAGCCGCACATGATCTGGTGGTTCATGTCCTGATCGTAGCAGACTCCGAAGACTCATCGGAAGGTGTGGTTAGATCGCACGCAGCTGTCCACCTATATACACCCCCCATTGCCCACAGCTTCCCCAATTCGTTACGTCTCGCCCTACAGAAACTCGTGCCGTACTTGGTCTACTTTGGAACTGGTGATTTTGTCATCCTCAGACCTGTCGCCACCGCAGGGACTCGGAGCCTAATCTTGATGCCAGCCATGTGTCATAGTGGATAGTGGAGGTTCCCATCATTTCAGGCGGCACCCGCAGGTACCAGAAGTTGTTCTCATACCTTATCCGAAAAGTAGAGAACTTGGAGTCTTGTCAATTAGCACAGTGATCCTCTTGGTGTGGGGTGATAATGCGATTTCAGCATCAAGGGCTTTCAGAGGTGGGATTGGAACATTCCGGCGGGACTCCTAGAGCCGAGAGCCCATTGGGACATTGCCACTACTTGTTTAGGGTTTAGGGCTTGTAGGGCTGCGAGAGACTGCTGGTATAGCAGGTCCGAAACTACTCTACGTGCGCAAGAATATGCAAGTCGGTGCATCCAACTGGCACTATGCAAGTCGGTGTTCCAGTGTTCCACTTGGCTAGATGCTGGCAGTAGGCCCAGAGTATAGGACCAGGAACACAATCGGATGGCCAGGGGTTAGTGTGTAAGCAGCCCTGACACGTCGAGACATCTGGCAAGAAGATGTTCTGCAAGCGATAGGTTCTACAGGGGGCTGGGGCAATTTGCAGTCGTCGGGGAGTCAAGTCTCTTGGAGCTTGGTTTGGTCCGAAGTCAGGACAAGAGTGGCTGAGACTAATGTAGGGGTCGGAAGAACACGAACAATATTCCCGAATGGCCCCTTTGATAACCCTCCACAACCCTATTCTAATAATTCTAGGCCCCTAGATTAGTGTGCAGGGTATGGGTAAGGGTCGTCCAGATGCGGCACAGCAGGGTCGGACTTAGGCCCTGGCAACTGCGTCATCCACGGCCTTGGGGCTTTACTTCGGGATAAGAGTTTCTTTAGGGTTTAGGGCTTGTAGGGTAACCCTAATGCGATAGTCCGCGTCACCTGATCCTGGAAATGAGTCCCAAACATCCTTGCATCGGATCTGTGGCTGTGCAACTCTGTCACAGATGCGTCTAACTACATTAACCAACATCTCTTGGCCGCCTGGGGAGAGACAAGGAGTATCCTACCCTAGCCCTATGAACCCTGTGAACCCTATAGTATAAACACTATAAGCCCTGCACACCCTGAGCAAGACCTATAAACCCGATGAACTCTGTAAACCTCAGCAGCGCTATAAGCCCCTCAAAATGCATCCTAAACCCCATATTTCCTTGACAGCCAGGATGCTTGCCCTTGACATGTCCACCTGCGGGCACCGGAAAAACAATCTTGGCAACAAGCATCTGAAGTCTTTGAGCAACTCTGGTCTGGAAAGGTACGTCAGGCCTGTTTGGCTGATGGCCGGGGATCCCTCAGCAATGAAGCGGATGACATGGGACCCTAAAGCCCCTTGAACCCTAAACCCTAAACCCCAAACCCTAAACGGATGATCTCCGCCTGGCGGTCTCTTGCCGCAGTTGATGAAGCCTGGGACTTTCCACTCCTGCAAGCGCTCACTTTGTCGGATCTTTCTGGAGAGCTTTCAGTTACACGTGTAAGGTCCTTTGGGTGTAGGGTTTAGGGTTTTAAGGTTTAGCCTACAGCACTTCTCGATTCTCGCTTTCGCTCAATGTGATACTGGAACCACCCCTTCGTCTTGCCAGCTCAATGTCGGGCCTTGCCCATTGAATCGGGCATCTGCGAGATGATGTACCTGCGGTGGGGGGGGGGGGGGGCGGGGGGCCTAAAACCCTAAAGCCCTCAACCCTGAAACCTGAACACTACACCCTAAGCCCTGAACCCTGAACCCGATGGGGCATGCCTAGGAGCTGTGGGTGAAGGGCTTCAGGCAAGCGTGGAAAATGCTTCAAGGACCCAACTCGTTCCAAAGCCCCAAGAAGGGTGCTGAATCCTGAGCTCTAGATGGATGATTGACGGAATTCCTCCCCTGTCGTATATCAATTGGCGAAGAGCCTGCCTAAACCCTAAACCCTAAACCCTAAACTAAACCCCTAAACCCCTAGGTTGGGAAAGACCCAATGTCCGAGCAGCTTGGCCCAGCTGGGATCTTCGCGACTCCGGCGGATAAAGTTCCGGATGCTTGTGCGGGACTCCACATACGGGATCGTGTCCTCAATTGACTGTGAGTTGGGGCTCCGAAATCCGCTGGGAAAAACAAGTATCTTCGGAGGCCCTACCTGGGTAGACATTAGGGCATATTATATAGCTATGCCTAAATTCTTACATCATTAGAAGAATTATACTTCTATACGCTCCGAGTATGACATTTTTGCATTTACAGCATTTAGGTTCTTAGAGCCTTTGCGTCCGGCCTTAGAGGTTCTTATTCTCGGGCCTCAGTCTTAGTTGCGAGGTTTTAGAAACCCTAAATGCGTTCAACACAATGTGTTTTCGGAGGCAGCGTGACTTCAGGGGCACATGTTCCATGCTTGAGGGCGATGAGAAGGGAGGGGCGGGGGGGTGGGAGGGAAATTAACCCAAACCTGACCCGCGCGAGCTAAGCATTCAGATGAAAAGGATGCGTGGTGTTGATACGACTCCGAGCGAAGGCCTGGCACGCTACAAGCTTTTCAGGGCAAGGGGCCTGGGCCTGCTGCTGCTTTGATCATGTGTAGGTGCTGCCACATGTTTTTGTGGTGGGTCAGTTAAACTGGTGTCCTGGCTGAAAGCCAACCGCCAATTGAAAACAAAGACTTTGAGCTGCAAGCGCAGTGTTGTCCTTCGCTCACTAAACGTAATGTGCTTAATCTTCCCTTGGGTCCTATATAAGCAGGTATACGAAGTTATTCCTAAGGGGGCTATAGTGGGTGGGTCATTAGCGATAAACAGTTAAGCAGTCATTGCTGCCATGGTCGTGTTCACGTTGTACGGTCGCCGGACATGTGGTCTCAGTACCCACTCGCGTGAGCAGAGTTTTGATTGCGAAAAAAACGAAAAGGACAACCCCTGTATATTATACACACACAAACATACACTCAAAAGTATTTTTCAGGAACCTTAGGTCAATGTCATACACTCTCTCACCAAGAACAGAGATATGACCACCACATGCAGCTGCGCAGTCTTTAGGGCAGTGGATGAGGTCTCCCCTGATGTTCTGCCCGCAGTAGTCAGTGAGGCGATCCTCGTTCCGCCATTCCACCTGTCCAGGTTCCAGGATTCCAGGAGCTGGCAAAAAAAAAATAAATAAATAAATTAAATATATATATATATGTACATACTATATACATAAATACATATATATAGGTATGGATGTATATATATATATATATATATATATATATATATATATATATATATGTATATATATATATATGTATATGCATGCTTCCGAGAGCTTTCAACCAGCGCACATGGAGACAAGGAGTATTGTCGGTGGAGGGATGTCGCTTGGTCAGGGGCAGTACACGCGAAAAACATGCACCCAGGAGTCAAGTGACGCGCTCATCCTAAGCCCCTCAAGAGCCAGAATTGTTCTTCCCGTTAGCAAGGCCTTGGCAACCTCACTGCCGAAATTGTCCATGATGTACCTTGGCCACCGCCGCGCCGTTCTGGCTATGTTGCGGGAACATCGACAGAGCCAAGAAGCCTGAACCCTTCAGTTGCTGCCAGAGTGGCTGATCTGTCCAGTTGATGGCCGGAGACTGGATGCCAGCGCCTTTCAGAAGGAAAGGCCTCAGAGAGCTCTTGACGTCATAAACATGCTGTCAGAGTTCGCAGCCGCAAGAGAAGGGAAGGGGCCTATGACATCTTAAAATGTCTCCTGAGGCTTTGACGGGGTAGGCTCTTGCTGCAAGGGCCGCACCCAGCCGAGGGCTTCAATTTCGCGAAGTCGCTCGACGTGGCTCATTCGTGGCAGGGTGTCCATTTCAAGATGTGTGCTCTGCCTTCATGGACCAATGCCTTACACACGGCTCCCCTTCTGTGCCCTTGTCTCCTTCTCGAGTAGAAAGATGCAGAATTTAGGTGGACCTTGGCACCCTAAACACTAAAACATAAAAGCAAACCCTGGCACCCACGCCCCCAAACTCCACAAGACCCTAAACCCCACATCACCCCTCAAGAGCCTGTCCAAAACCCTAAACCCTAAACCCTAAACCCTAAACCCTAAACCCTAAACCCTAAGCCCTGTCAGCATCCGAAAGGGGAGCCTGGCCTTCGCTGCTTGTGGTACTTCGTCCAGAAAGTCTCAGGTGAGGGCGGCTCGGTGAAGACGTCGACCTGGGATTGGGGTTTAGGGTTTAGGGTTGAGGGTTGAGGATTTAGGGTTTAGGTCTAGGGTTTTGGACATCATCTCGCAGGGGTTTTAAGTTTTAAGGTATTCCGTATGTATGTAAGGGTTTGGTGAACGGGGGAAGGGCTTTTGCAACTAAAATGAAACCCCAAGGCCCTACCACACAGCTCGCTGTAAGAGTCTACATCCAACTGTGCTGCTGGAGCCGAGGGATTGCCAGTTTCATTGTCAACACGACCCTAGGCAGCCACTCTCTGTGTTGCTTGGCATCTTAGCCGGAACGCACGCAGCAACCCAAGTCTCTGCTGGGCCCCTAAACCCTAAACCCCACGTAATAATGGGGTTGAGGGAAGCGGTGGGGGGGGGGGAGGCTTTCTGGAAATCCCTCAAGCCGAAGCCCTCCATACATACAATCCTCAAGCTCTCGACCTTCAATGCGTACATTCTCAGCCCTCAATCCTTCAACCCTCAGCTCCAAACCCTAAACTCCCAGCCCCCAACTCTCCGGCCCTCACCCCCTACAAAGCCTAAAACCTTAAGAACCCCCAAGACTCCAACTCTAAACCCTTTGAATCCTTAAGCAGCTATGAGCCTTCGACCCCCCGAAACTGTCTCACCACCCCCTCTTCGGTGCCTCCCCGGCCCAGGATTCCAGGAAGTCCGCATGCCCCAATGGCTTGAAATGGCCCTTGGGGGAACCTCCAAGGGGGGCGGCGGAGGGAAGGGAGAAACCCGAAATCCTCATAAAAGGTTTAAGGTTTCGGACTCATATGGGCTTTGGTAAGACTCATATGGGGTGAAGGCTACCCTAAAGGTTTAGGGTCTAGGATTCATGGTTTATGGGATTAAGGCTTGGTTCCCGCGAGTCCCCTGTATGCCCTGTTCTTTTACAATCCAGCTTAGGGTTCAGAGTTGAGAGCGCCTGATCCCGAACCCCGAAACCCCAAAAGCCAGGACTTCGGCTCTCTGGCCTTCTGGGCTATCGTGGATGCGGAGGTCCCTGAACTCGTAGCGCTTATCGCAGAGGCCACGGGCAGCGCAATTCTGCCAGAACCTGTCTGGTTGAAGGCTGTCCAGGAGAGGTAAGGTGTATGTTGTCCTTTAAAAGGGCGGTACATTTGGCATGACCTCTGAAAACATGTCATCTAAGTCGGGAAGGTGCTTCAAGAACCTCTTGTGCGGTCTTGCGAGAAGGCGGATGCTGGAGCCGTTTACGGACTTGCACCGTTGATTATAACCTAAGACTCCGTCGGCTTTAGCCCAAAAGCGGCTCCCCGAAACCCTCCAAGCCTCAAATGGGTGTTCGTTTATCATCCAAGCCTTCTAAAAGAGGTCTTCACGCGATTGTTCGAAGGGGAGGGACAACGCAAAAACCATCTGCCAAAGCAGAGTTGGTCTCTTCAGGTTCCTGCGTTCGAGAGAAAGGTGCCCAGACGTGCCACAGCTTCTGGCACTACCACTGCCCCCAGCACGCTGGTCAGTACATATAGACATACGAGTAACTTAATTAGATGCCTTTGGGGGGCGGGGGTCCTTCTTAGAAGGTGCCGTACTTTTAGAGACCCACAAAGGAAACCTAAGAAGACCATGTAGAGCTGGTTTGGGTTGAGCAGTCGCGGGGCGGCTCAAGGTTCAGAAAGGGTGGGGATGCCTGTTTGAGGTGGCTACGCAAGGCTTTGGGAAGACAAAGGGGCGAATTCTTGGGTCAGGCTGACGGATAGCGTTGGGTTTGTCGACCCTGTACTTCGAGAGGCGCTGTCGCGCTCGGAACGCCAGGACTGCTAAATCATCTCTTTTCGGACTCCAAAGCTCCAAATTCTGTGACCAAGGCTTCCTTCCACACTAAACCCTAGACCCTAAACCCTAAACCCTGAACCCTATAAACCCTATAAACCCTATAAACCCTATAAATCCTAAACCCTATAAACCCTATAAACCCTGTAAATCCTAAACCCTATAAACTCTCTAAACCCTCAACACCCTATAAATCCTAAACCCTATAAGCCCTAAACCCTATAAACCCTAAACCAAGTCTCACCAACCTGCGGCTGGGCTGCTTGACTTTGGACTTGCCAGTGGCCAGGTTGACTTGCAGGAACAGCAGCAGTAGATGGCATGGCGTGGTGGGCAGCATGGCTGACTGCTGGGCTCAGGCAGGAGCTTAGCATTCAGGGTTTGGGGTCGAGGTTTCTTCTGACTATAAGGGGAGCCATCCTTGCTTACTTCAGATTGGGCTTTTTTTATGGAGCCAAACCCTTAACAAAAGAAACGCCGTGCAGCACTGGAGGTTGTTATGGGGTAAGGGCTTCAGGCACTAGGCCTCTGGGCTCCGATCTGTGCTCTTGGACATGAAAATCCGGTGGTCACCATTCACGCAGACCCCGTCATGCTACTAATCTTGTTAATATTAAGAGAAATGTTAGTGCTCTTCATGATAATATTATTGTTATATTTTGAATGTCGTTAATGCCATTAAACCCCAAAACCGAATGGCCCCTTCGGTAGGGCATGCAGCTTCATAGGCACAACTGTGATCCATGATGCAGGTGGCTCTTCTTTGACTCTTGAAAGTCTCTTCCCCGAACCCTAAACCTAAGAGACCCGAAGCCTTGTCTTCATCAACCATTGTAGCAGTAGAGGCTTCCATCTGTTGTTGGGGACCAATAGGGGGTTCTAGTGCCTAGATATTAAAGCTTGCAGGGAACCACCCACAAGGAGAGCGAGGATATCGCTACAGAATAGTATTCCAACTATTTCCAACTGCTGCACGGGTTGGCCGGTGGCGGTGGTAGTGTTGCGCACCGCGCCCTTCCCTCCATCCAATTTTTGTGCCATACCTCGGAGGGGAATCGATTATGAAAAGTTGGGGCATCCGGTGAGTGGATTTAGGGTTTGCTGCAAGTTTACGGTTTCCGCACAGCATGAAAGTGAATTCTTGTCTCTCTGACCTTGGATAACAAAGGAACTTGTCAGCTTCGCTCTTTCATCCTGACTGAACGCCTGCGCTATTTCATGTCTTTCATTCACTCACAAATCTAATAAGAAAGGGGCGTGTGGGAAATGCGAAGAAAATGGAGAGCCAACTATAGAACAAGCCTCGGCAAATCAATTCATGCATCACTTCGTTCTTCATATTTGTGTTCGCTTGTCTTTTTCCTGGGCTTTGGGCACCTATGGAGGACAGGAGTGATTGTTTTCAGAGGTTATAAAACACATCTACTTTGTTCTCATATTCGAGGGTATTAGGGTTTATAGGGCCTGGAGATGGACACTTGGGAGTGTAGAAATGGGAGCTGCGCAAGATATAGTTTGGCTGTGGAGAGTTGGCAGAGGAATTCAGGCCTTGAGGCCCACTCTGCTTGCTGCATGAAGAGCCCGTTAGCAAAGTAGTTCCAGACAGACTGCCACCCTGACCGACCGGGACAAGAGCAACTCCACAGAATCAGTTGTTACGTGAAACGGGGCCCGTAACTTAGAAAGAATCTCCCAACTGAGCTTTCTTGGGCACCCGGCAAGTCTCCACATTTTTCCTTAGCGCTCCAACCGCATCTTTGTCATCGGACTCTGTGAACCACACCTGGCTGTTCGGCCAGTAACTGCAAAGTGCAACTGATGAATGGTGCGTGGCTTCTGACACCCTCCCCGGCACCGCCAAGCAAGCAAGCGCATCAGCCGAACTTTGATGGCAGGTGGACAATTAATGCTGCTACCCAAGACCTAACACATCCTAAGGCCAACAAGCAGCACCAACGTAATGACAGACGTCTTGGACAAGCGAATATGAACTTCTGCCTCGATGCGGAGAACGCCAGCCGCCCGAGGCCCGGAGAGTTTGTCCACGAGCCGAACTCCTCCCAGAAGGTTTACATGGGGGGGGTTTAGGATATTAGTACCTTGTTGGGGTCCTTATGAAAGGGGAATCCTGCAATTTGGGGTCTATTCTAGGGGTCCCCCTACTTTCGTAAACCCCCACACCAGCACAGCGACTAAACATCGACAATATTCATTGACTGTTGAAGCCATCAAAGGCACGCGCACTCTGCTACTTAGGATTTGAGACTCCTTGTGCGGACGCTGGGAAGCCCTTGCTGATGGAACCAGGTCAGTTCTTGGGATATTTTAGGTTAGGCGTTGACGACCAGGGGGCTCAGAGACCTGAAGGATCGTGTGTCTTGACTCGTGCTGACTAAACCCTCGCTGTGCAACTGGGAAGAGCCGAGATCACCAAGCAACCTAATAGGAAATGTGGTAGCTCTTGCTTCTGAACAAGGGTTTGAAAGGAAGCCCCCCCCCCCCCCACCCCAAAACAAAAAAAAAAAAACAACAAGACGAAAAAACAGTAAGTGCACTGCCGTGTCCTATTGTCTGAGTATTTTCGGGGTTGAGGCATTCCATACCCAGTTTGCGTGGCTACAAACCCACAAACCAGGTTTAGGGTTTAGGGCTTAGGGTTTAGGGTTTAGGTCCCCCCCCCCCCATCCTGTGATCATGTTAGGAGGCTCAATAGTGGCCCCGATGATGCCAAGCACCAGGTTGTTCCAGTACCTGGCCATGAAAGTCTGACTTCTGAACCTTTGAGGGTTGATTTGCAGTGCCCAAAACCCTAGTACGTATGTTTCTTGGGGTACCTAACTCCATAGTAGTACTACAAAATTTGTGGCACTCTCTCATCGGCCCTCGGGGGAGGTGTCTGGGGCTTCAAGTTTAAACTTTCCTTCGAGACTCCAGGCTGCTTTGGCATTCTCCAGTCTTCCTTCAGCACACATCGGGGCTTTAATGCTATCAGCCCTAGAGAGAGTCGTGATGTTCCTAAGCCCTGAACCTCAAGATCCTACCGTGGAATGGCCAGGCCCCACGATTGAAATCGTCAACCCGGAGCAAACCCTGAACTTTTTTGTGCTCTCCCTAGAAAAGGCATTTCGTATCTGAACATGCACCTAAACCGTAAACCAAAACAGGGATTCGGTGGAGCTTGCAGCGGGCACTCGTCGATCTGGCCGGGACCAGCTGAGGGTTTGAGCTGGAACTGGCACAGGGAAACGCAGATGGAGGTCCATGGTACATAAAACACACCTACAAGCCCCCTTAAAGGGGTCTCAGAATTCTGATTCTGACTATGGGTGTACAAGTACAGCTATACTTGGGTTCATAAGTGCCACGAACCTCCAAGTAGATGGGGGTCTAAGGGTCTGAGGGCAGCTCCAGGGCTCCGGGGGGTGTAGTTAGGGGGGTGTAGTTGGGTTTAGGGTTTAGGGTTTAGGGTTTAGGGTCACTGGGGCTCAGGGCTTGGGCTCAGGGGTTTGGGCACTGGGCTCGAGGATTTCGGGGTTTCGGGGTCTGATGTTTGTGGCGGAGTCTGCCAGGGCCAGCTTGCAAAATCAGAACGATCGTGTGTCCCTGTGCGCCTAATTACCTACGTCTTTAAAGCACATATACAAGTATAAAATGTAAAAACAGAAATGAATATGTAAGTGTATGCACATGTAATTTTTTTGCGAGTGTATGACATGCTTTGTCTTCATCTCCTGGATCCCAAGCAAAAGACACGCCTGAAAGTGGCCACCTTTGGCATTCATTGGATCTTCCCACTCGGGACCTCCGCGAAGATCTGACGAAACGGTTTAGGGTTTAGGGTTTAGGGTTTAGGGTTTAGCGTTTAGGGTTTAGGGTTAAGGGTTAAGGGTTAAGGGAACTGGGGCTCTTTGCGCTCACTGCCTGCACGGTGGCGACCACCATCTCAAGTCACAATCAGCTCCCTGCCCTAAATTCTTGGAACCCTGAGGTACTTGGAGGTTCATGGTACTTAGTCACCAAATTGTACTTGCATTTATAACCCAATTATGACCATATTAGGGCACTTGAAGGGCTGAAAAGTGGGTCTTAAGTCCAGTTAGAATTGGGTTACAAGTACCATGAACACCATGAACCTCCAAGTAGCCCGACAAATCAGGAACCCTAAACCCTAAACCCTAAACCCTAAACCCTAAACCCTAAACCCTAAACCCTAAACCCTTCAAGCTGTGCAGGGCTGGCGACTCCTGGGCCCCCCTGCGGATATTGTCCCGGAAAATCATGAGCGCGTCGATCACGTGCAGACCGTCATGCTGCTCCCGCACCTGCCACTAACTGGGCGGCTGGAAGGGCTTTCGTTTTTGTTTGGAGAATTCTTTTTATGTTGGAGTTTACATGGAACCTGGTGACAACGAACCTTGAACCGCCGATGTTCCAGCTTTGAAGCATGCTGCAGACTCTAAACCTCCTGAAGGTCTGAAGTCCCTCACGTAAATTCCGCCAACTGAAGCACGCCGAATTATTAGAGACCGAAGACGGGCAAGGCAGGCAATCCGCTTGGATTCAAGCAGCGTGCTGGGCTGGGGCACGTGGTTCCACAGCCTGCGAAGGGCGTCTCCGGGGCTGCTGTTGGGAGTCCCTAAACCCTAAATCCTAAACCCTAAGTCTATAGCGATCCCAGAAGGGGGCGTTGCAAATGGGGGCATTGCCATGAACAAACCTGCCACCAAAAAAACCATCAAAGAATACCACTACATTTATAGACTCTTCCAGTCAGTTGAATGGATCATATACAATAGTGAAGCACAAAGCATACGTTCTATCATAATACATGTATTTGCATGTTTTTCAGCGAGATTTAAGAAAGAGAGAAGCAAGAGATAGGGGGCGGTGCAAGGATGGAGCCAAGAACAGCCATTTGTATGGTCTTTACAAGCCAAATGCAGTTCGGCTTGGTTTTGGAGCCAAGAACAGCCAATTGCACTGTTGTTACAAGCTATAAACACATATTTTTCTGGTGGCCAAATGTTTTTTCCAAGCCAGATGCATGTTTCTGGCGAAAGATGCGTTTGGCTTGGTTTGGAGCCAAGAACCATTGGAAAATGGTTTACGTCAGGAAAATGTACTGTTTTTTCAAGCCAATTGCATTGTTGTTTTGCTGTGTGTAGGCCGAATAGGATTTTTACGGTAGCCCTAAGCCCTTACCACTAAAAACTAAACCCTAAACACTAAATCCTAAACCCTAAACACTTATAACCACGACACTACACCCTAAACACTAAACCTTTCTGGGCTGACGAGGCTAATTTTAAAAAAATCAACGTAATTCGGCACCCAGGAAAGCATGTTTACAAGATCTTTCTTTCGAAATGAATGCATTTTTTCAGAAAATTTCATGACTTTCTTTTTGAGAAACATGCATAAGGCATATTTTGCAAACAAACGGATGGTGGCGCTCCAGTTTTGGTCCAATTTCGGCCCAGTTTCGGTCCTTAAAGCATACATTCATTTCGAGAGAAAACTCTTGTAAACGCGCTTTCTTGGGTGCCGATTTTTTTTGTTTAAATAAATATGTCAGCCGAGAAAACAACGTAAACCAGAGGTTCCTGATAGATATTATCCAAGTCTCTAAACCCTAAGCCCAAAGCCCTTATCACTAAACCCGAAACCCTCAACACTACACTCTAAGCACTCAGCACTAAGGCCTCAACACAAAACCCTCAATAACTTGACCCTAAGCCCTTAGCACTAAACCAACACTAAGCATTAAACCCTAAACACTTAAACGCTAAACCCTACAGACTATAAACGCTAAACGCTAATCCCTAAACACGAAACCCTAAACACTTAAACACTACACCCTAAAGCATAAACACCAAGCCCTAAACATCCGGAACCCTAAGCCCTACTAAACCCTAAAGCCCAAGAGCAAAAAACAGTCGGGGTTTCACATGTTTAGGGTTTGGACTTGAGAGTTTAGGATTCATAAGGTTTAGGGTCGGAGAGCATGGCCTATCGGGCTGCAGACGGCAGCTGACGGATTCCCGAGTCTGCGAGAGAGAGAGAGAGAGAGAGAGCAGAGGGAGAGGGTGTTAGATCTTATCCAAGCCGCTTGACCCCCGGCCCGAAACCCTTAAAAAAACACCTACACCCTAAACACAAAACACTAAACCCTGAACCCCCTAAACACAAAACCCTAAATACTACGTAAACCCGAAACAACAAATCCTGACTGAACCCTATACATTAAACCCCAAAACCAAAGACCAGTCGGGGTTTCAGTTCTTTAGGGTTTTTAGAACTTAGGAATGACAAGTTTTTGATTAACCCTAAACCCGAAAACAAAACCCGGAACGTGAGAAATGCCGCTCCGCAAGCTACTTGCGCTTAAACGCGGCGCGTTTAAGCGCAAGTAGCCTTTTTGCAGCGCAGATTTGCCCAAACCTGCGGCGTGGAAAGGGCTACTTGCGCTTAAACGCGGCGCGTTTAAGCACAAGTAGCTTGCGGAGCGGCATTTCTCACGTGTGATTTCCGTTTTCCGGACTTCCACGTCAGAAAGGGTGTAGCGTTAAGTCTTTAGGGTTCGGGAGTGAGTGTTGAGGGTTTAGTGCTTGGTTTTTGCGGGGGTTTAGGGTTTTGTTTTAGGGTTTAGGGTTAAGCAAAAACTTGTCATTCCTAAGTTCTAAAAACCCTAAAGAACTGAAACCCCGACTTGTCTTTGGTTTTGGGGTTTAGAGTATAGGGTTCAGGATTTGTTGTTTCGGGTTTAGGGTTTAGTGTTTAGGGTTTTGTGTTTAGGGGGTTCAGGGTTTAGTGTTTTGTGTTTATGGCTGCATGGCCTGTAAAAACAGTGCAAATGGCTGTTCTTGGCTCCAAAACCACATGCCGAACGCATTGTCTTTCAACGGAAGAATGCGTTTGGCTTGCAAACACCATACCAATGGCTCTTTTTGGCTCCAAAACCACAAGCCGAGCGCACTGTCTTTCAACAGAAAGTTGTGGCTTGTAAAAACCGTACAAATGGCTGTTCCTGGCTCCAAAACCACAAGCCGAACGCATTGTCTTTCAACAGAAGAATGCGTTTGGCTTGCAAACACCATACCAATGGCTCTTTTTGGCTCCAAAACCACAAGCCGAACGCACTGTCTTTCAACAGAAAATTGCGGCTTGTAAGAACCGTACAAATGGCTGTTCCTGGCTCCAAAACCACAAGCCGAACGCATTGTCTTTCAACAGAAGAATGCGTTTGGCTTGCAAACACCATACCAACGGCTCTTTTTTGGCTCCAAAACCACAAGCCGAACGCACTGTCTTTCAACCGTACAAATGGCGTTCCTAGCTCCAAAACCACAAGCCGAACGCATTGTCTTTCAACAGAAGAATGCGTTTCGCTTGCAAACACCATACCAATGGCTCTTTTTGGCTCCAACACCACAAGCCGAACGCACTGTCTTTCAACAGAAGAATGCGTTTCGCTTGCAAACACCGTACCAATGGCTCTTTTTGGCTCCAAAACCACAAGCCGAAAGCATTGTCCTTCAACAGAAAAATGCGTTAGGTGGTCTGTAAACGCATTACAAAATGGCTGTTCTTGGCGACGGCTACAATGGTTGGTCACATGAGCAGCTACAGACCATAGGGGATTTCCTACGAGCAGTGGCAGACTGCAGAGAGTCAGTGACGAGTGTTTCAAGAAGATGGCCATCTACGACGAGCGAGCCGGCCAGAGAGCCGAACAGCCAGTCAGCGCAGCAGGCCACCCCGTTGAAAGAGGGCTATGAGGTCCCGGTGAGTGGTCTGGTAGACCGATGTTACTCATGGTATGTATATATCCATACGCATGGCAAATATGTCGCATCTGCATTTGATTTTTTGTGGTGCCACCCCTCATTCATCTTTGGTATATATTATACATGTACTTCAAAGGTTCAAACTCAATTGGTTATTTATTCTCCGATTTTTCCACAAGCCGAACGCATTGTCCCTCAACAGAAAAATGCGTTTGGCATGTTAAAACCGTACAAATGGCTGCTCTTGGCTCCAAAAACACAAGCCGAATTTATTTAAAAGAAATCAAATGTGGCCACGGTTTCTAAAACACATATTTTGGGTTCTGGCACCGCTCCCCAAGCCCGGAGTTTGTGAGGCATTTTTGTACCGCCATGTTACACACATGAAAGCAAATTTCGAAGGCGGTAGTCAGAAAATAATGTGTTGTTTGTTGGCTCCGCCCGCTTACGTGATTACATACAACTCGAAGGCGAGATTTGACTAACATAATGGCTTCGGGTTCACTGTTGAGGGATTTCTGGGCCGTCATATATACTAGAACCTCATGATAGTAGCGTCCTGTCCCCAATCCATGTTTTTGTTGATGTCCTTTTAGTTGGTGGCAATGCCCCCATTTCCAACGCCCCCTTTTGGGATCTCTAGAAAGTCTCGTGCTGGGTTAGGTGGGTGTATGGTACCTTTAGGGGTAGGATGACCTTTAGGTATGTCTAACCTATCTAGGAAGCTTAGATGCCTTGATTGGACTCTTGAGCCCTGACCTGCCATCAGAAGCTGGCCTCCAGAAATCCTGGACTGTGCCGAAGCTTGCCACCTGGCGCTGGAGCATCGTATAGAATTTCATGCTGATATATTTCTGTGTATATATAGATATATGTATATGCGTACGCACACGTTCATACTTGTGTTGTTTGGTGTATCAAAGAGTACAACTTAATACGATGATATTCTTGTCGGCTTCAGCTGCAGATTCTGGACCTCCAAAAACCTCAAGTTGTACACGCAAAGGTCCACGGCTTCGCTTCTACGCATTGCCCTAAGACTGCCATCGGCTCAGCGTTACATAGAAACTTCTGCAGGCCCTAAGTGGCCGATCCGCTTCATCTTGGACTTGATTGCATATGCGACGCGTTTTCCAGACTGCACAAATCGCTGCTTGCATGCCCTAGAGCCTTGTCTTGCTATTGCAGCCTTCAGGCACCAACGAAAATCGTCATCGTTCAGGATAGGCTTTTCGTGATCCGTTCGGGACAACATACCCTTGAGTATCCTACCGTGAGCTTCCGTTCTGCCTAGTTGCCAATGAGCCTCTCCTGCGCAAACATTTGCTCCGACCCGACTCGCACCTTCTGCGTCCTCTGCGAGTAATTTGCGTCGATCTTCCCATCTGAAGTTACCTGCTCCCACACACTCCACCTCGGATGTTCACCAAAAGTCATCAACGATGTGTTAGTCAACACGTGTGTTGGTGCTTGTTATTAGAGGTGCCACAGGTGGTATTTCAACGACCCTACCCGCTGTTAGCCCACGTGCCCCTCATACCAGATGCCAACCCAGTCTTCAACTCACATCTTTGCAATGGCTGTCTCATGGCGTGGGTCCCAAGGTGGACAGCCTCTGCCACAAGCGCTTGTAAGTCCGGAACGTGTACTGCAGAGGCAGGTCCTGCTGGAGTAGAACTTTCAGAAGACGCATGTACAGGATGTGAAGAGTCCTAACAAAAGGTGTACGGAAACAACACGGGCAAGATGCAGGCCACCGAAATCTGTGCAACATGGCATGCTCCAGCCTATAGAATACCATTGGATCTGATTTACTCCTTGCTCAAAACAAGGCCCGAAAAGCCCTCCATCGAGCACAATTTGAGCCTTTATGTGGGAAGGGGGATAGGAGGGGGAGCACATTGGTTAAACGAGTGGATATTCAGGGGTTTTTCATGCCCCGGGGTCCAGCGACATACAGAAACTGAGAGAGAGCCTCACTAACCGATATAGGGACTCCGATACATTAAGGAGTATTGAGTATTGCTTAATTTAATTGGAATCCCTACTGAAGTAAAGCAGGGTTCCTCAGAGTCGCTGGATAGTCCCTATACTCCTTGAACAATAATTGATAATTCCTGGGATTCTATTTGCCTCCAAGTGATGGGAGTTACACAGTTCAACTTTGCAGTCCCGAAACGTCCCCCCAAACCGTATCCTTGATGTGTCCATGACCCCCAGCTGCCAAGAGAGGCTTCAAAGAACCCTGCAATTAGAGAGAGAATGCGATGCATTATTCGCCAGCCAGAATCGGCGTTAGGATACAAACAGTTCTGGTAACGGAGCGATGGTTGCTCACAGAAAACCACGTCCATACACAGCTTGTCTGCACCTTCTTGAGCATTTCCATCGTCTCTGCTTCATCCTGGCAAAAGCACGTGCTCAGGAACTCGCCGCTGGACCGCTAGACTCGAATATTCGGCCCTTCAAGCTGGGATGAGGCGCGGGCCTCCGGAACGAATTGGAGCTTTTCGTTGATGCTCTCGTTGAAGCTCAGGAACCTCATCGGAGGACTCACATGGGCCCAGTGCGTATGAGTGCACTGTCAGAACTCCAGCTAAAGTCAATTCCTTGTGTTATTTGAACAGGTCAGGGTGCCGCCACGCATACTTGGAACCCACAGAAGCCCTGAACCAACCAATGAAACCCTGCTGGGTCTCCGACATCTTCGGGTCCATAAGTACCTGGAATCTGGGTTTAGGGTTTAGGCTTTACGGTTTAGGGTTTAGCTCTGCTCATTTGGGCCCAATTCGGGGCCGGCATGCCTCTAGTCATCCTGCTAAGCTTTAAAGTGTCTCCCTGCCTCGTCCCGAAGCGTTCGGTCGAATCCCTCATACTCAGGTCTATGGCTGCGAGCCAGGAAAGCAGGAGACGAACATTCCTGGGAATGCTCTGCGATGGTGGAGGATGCCAGGCTTTAGTCTATAGCAGCAATATAGCAGTTATGCAGCTGGCGTAGTGGGGTGGGGGGTTGGAGCTGTGATCCATGCAGCAACACACCCAGAAGCGAAGCACAGTGTTCAAGTTGGACTGCTTTTCCCCGTTGTCGCACACATGCCTGAGGAAGGCTGCAAACAGCTTGGGGCAATAGTTTCGCGGATCGCCAACAGAGTCCTTACATGATCGCAAAGGTGGGCAGGGGGCAGGAGGGGCATTGTGTTGGGACACTGCAAGGCATGCTGGCACCCTGTGCTGCATCTCGGTGTCGTCTGAAATAAATCCACAGTGGCCACCGAATTCCGGGTAGTACCTGAGCCGGCCGAGCTTCGAAAGCAAGCCGCAACACGCGGCAATGCACCGGAGCTTTATGCTAAGTGCAAATTGACCTTACAAGGAAGGTCCTGCAACCGCACAGATCTCTTGACCACCTGTCGCCATTCTGCACATCATCAGTGTACGTCAATGTTCCAAGTCCGGCAAAATGCCAACCACCTGATTATCGCATACCTGAGGATGAGCCGAGCACAAAAAACCCTGTCCCTGTGCCTAAGCTGCCAAAGCCAGACTCCAATGCCAAGTAGAAATTGCTTGCGTCTCTCCAGTGAGCCAGTCACTCTTCGAACTGTGCTGGGTTTGCTCGCTCAACCCCGAAAACTCCTCATAGGCAAGTTCCTCGTAAACCCAATTGCGGTAGGGGAACAGAAACAGACAACCCATCTAAGCGACTGGGTTCCGTCAAGATGCAGCAGGACCGCCTCGGACACCTGCTCGGCAGTTGGCAAACTCCTGAAGCGCAGGGTCCGAACTCCATCTAGAGGTCTGAGCATGTCGCTAAGCTTAGAGTACCATCGACTGGCCACTGAAGGGCTTGTCGTCGATTATCGTTATTGGTTGGGCCCATGTGGCTTGTGGAGTGCGCTGTTCAGGGCGTCCCTAAACCCTAAACCCTAAACCCTAAACCCTAAACCCTAAACCCTGCGGAAGGTCAATCTGAGAGCATGCCACGGGGTTTCCGGGCTTCGGGCACCCCAGCCGAAATGTCCGCATGAGTCCGAAGCTCCGACATGCCAAGAGTCCTCGGGTCGACCAGGGGATCATCCTGGGCGTTCATGGCCAGAAGTGGGATCTGCACGTCCTTCCTGAGAGCATATGGGAGTCCGGGCATGTAGCAGAATTATGAAGCTTTTTCCTGCCACGTCCAGGCAAAGCCCCTCGCATGTCGGATGCAGGAAATGCTCGGGAAGTACCCGGGTATTATCCCTCGGACTTGCTGCGGAAGTGTTTTAGATGATGTAATCACATGATGATGAGGATTGCCACTGTGTGTCAGGACCTGAGCATTCTGTGCAGGCTCAGACAGGTCAAGCTTGGACCTGTTGTCCAACCCTACCCCCCCCCCCCCCTCCCCCCCCGGCCCCCCCCCGCCTCCCCCCCCCCCCCGGCCCCCCCGGCACACACAACAAACACAAACCCCTGAATCCTAGACCTCTATAGCCCCCAGACACCCTAGCAGAAAAAAAAAATCCCTCGAAGCCTCTGAATCTCAGCTGGGGAACAGAAAGCGCATTGATCCCTGGGTTCGGTAGTAGTCCAGCTTGTCTTTGAAGCCGTACCTCGGGCCCCATTAGTCCCGTGCACATGGAGCCCCGAATTGCAACAAGTTGGGCATGTCTGTTACGTAAAACCCTACGGAACTGCATCTGTACCTTAAGATTGTGAGCAGGAAATATAGGCTGCATCCGGTGCAAACGGACATTTGCGTGCCTTTTGAAACCCTAAACCCTAAACCCTAACCCTAAACCCTAAAGCTTGAGCCCCGCCACAGGGGTGCGACGCAGGCGTCGTCGAAGTCGCCGATGGTCTCCGCCTGCAGCACTTTGTCCAAGTCATAGGGCACCCGCTCCCCTGACGAGGACTTTGGTGAGGGCTCGGGCTTATCCTATCAAGTCAGCCTGTGCAAGGCTACACCTTTCTTCGGGTTGCGGGGTTTAGGGGACCTTCTCATCCCCCCAATAAGCTGAGCTCCTTGTTACATACTTGAACCCAAAAGCAAGAAAGCCCCAGTGGCCAAGGCCCTTTTGTCCTCCAAACCCCTCCTGCACATAACGATCGCGCCCCCGCCTCGTGCTTGCAGCATCTCGGCTTTCGCTTGAGCTTTCGGCTTCAGCGACTTCCTTGGATGAAGGGTGAGTAGTAATTGGGGTTTGAGGCTCATGGATCTTCATAGGGCTTGCAGGGGTTGAGGCTTTGACATTTTCGGTCTTCGGAAGTATTGCTGTACTTCGTTGTGTAGGGCCTATGAAAGGCCACGGGCTCTTCGCGCGCCTCTTTAAAGAACAGTTGACGCTGGGCAGCCGCTGTTTATATTTCCAAGCCTGTCTTATATGCAGATTGGGCTTATGTAAGCCTCTTATGAGACTCTTTTTTCGGGTCTTTAACCACTTGAAGCTGTGCTGGACTCGGGAATGTTGAGCTCTGGGCTCGTGGTGCAGGAGTGTAAGGGCACCTGGGTTAGCCCGCCGCGTCCCTCAAGGCCAGCAATACGTGCACTTGCAGATGAAACTGCCGAGGCAACCTTCGTCCTGTAACCCCCCCTCCCCCCTAAAAGTCTAGACACTAAACCCTAAACCCTAGACACCTAGACACCATAACCCCCCCCCCCCCGGAGCCCTAAGGCTGAAAAAGATTGGAAGATGACAGCCGCAGCTGAGACTCAGGAAGTTCCAAGCATAGAAGCGCCCTTGGCGGTCGACTGCTCGTGCTTGTTTCTCTTGTGTTCATGTGTGTATGTCTGTCTATGTATGTAGGTATGTTCGTAGGTAAATCAGCCAAGTATGCACATCTGTGCATCTATTGAAACTATTGATTCGCATGTAGGCATGCATATGTTTTTTCTTAATCATCACATATTTGTTGTAATCTACATACACGATGTACCTCACACATAGAGCACAGAGACACGCCTCAAGTTTCATGTTCCCTTCGTAAGAATGATAAAAATAGGCGAGTATTACGGTAGTATCGAGTCAGCAGTTGATTCGAGCGAATTATGCCACGGCATGGCCTCCCGACATTGGGAGGTTGGAGCCCTCCCCCCCTTTAGACTTGGATTGATTGTTAACTTGCGTCTTAGGTTGAGGGGTCCGGAAATGGTCCTTTCATTACCCACGCTTTGATGCTACTTATGGGCAGGGGAGCAGCAAAAACTCCGGCAGGCGAACTTTTCCTCAAACACCCCCGAAGCCACCCAGGAACGTCTGCTCCTCGACACCCCGTTTCCTGACCAAGTCTCCCATACCCTCATCCATGGCAGCCGAGGTGACCTCCACGCAGCCCGCACATTATTGGGGTTGAGGTTTATGCAAGCCAAATCTTGCACAGCGTCGTTGTCCATACAACCCCTGTACCTGACAAGCATGCTACTCTTGAATCTTAGTCAGGGACTCCAATGACAACCTTGCGGACAAGATGAACCCTGAAAGGATTTATGGTTTATACCTTAATAGCACAGGGCATATGACTCCCAATTTTAGGGTTCATTTCAGGTCCCCAGGGAACTTGCGGCACGGTCAATCATCTGCCTCGGGCAGGAAGGGCACATTGCAAACGGCAGCACCCTGAATCCCCAGCGAGGCCACGTCCTCAGCAAGGATTCGAGGTGTCAATATGGGCCACAAAGCAAGTTGGCTCCGTAGGTCCTCCCCCAGCTCGCCGATCAGCTTGCAGATAGCGTTGCCTTGTCGGAGGTACATGACCGATTTCAAACAACAGGCGCTAACACCATCTGCGCTTGGGGGTCTCAACAAAAGAAAGCCGCAAAGCCCATTCATCCGAGTGCCTCCCAGAGAAAAGCCCGACAAGAAGATCTGCCGCGACGGGGAGGCGGCGCGCAGCAGCCTGCACAGCTGGACCAGGTCGGCGGTGAAGCCTGCAGGGTGTGTGTGGATTCCATACATCTTACACCAAACAACCATGTGAAGCCACCCTAAGCTTTATGAGGAAGCCACAAACCCTGAAAGCATTCCCTAAGAATCCATGTGCCTATTTAGTCTATACTTGGGCCTTAGGGGTTAGTTTAGGGCCAAGTATATGCTATGTTAGGCACGTGGACCCTTAGAGAATCCGACAGCGCTGTAGAAAACTGTAGAGCCAGGTGCGAGATGGAACGCATTCGAGGCTCCTTGCTTACAAGCCTGTTCCGGAACAGGCCACTCCTTGGAACAGTCGCTTGGGTTCGGGGCTATAATATAGGGTCTGTAGATGGGTGGATGTACAGGATCAGGGGTGACCCCAGGCCTACGTTGTAGAAGCCGGCTGTGCGATTCATCTCCTGGGCTTGACGGCGTCAGCCCTACGCTGGGACTATTTCATGTCTGGCTTGGGTGAGGTTCTCCGGATAATTCCCAAAGTAGTGGGAACCTCGAAAGTTACCGCAGAAATACGATTATCCTGATTAAACGACCCCCTGGAAAGAGCACCCTGTTGGGGGAAGTGGAATGCCAGAGTCTAACCAGGGAGTGCCGGGAGACTAGATATTGTATGTCTTATATGCATTTAGTGCCCAGAGCCGCAGCTTTTCTGCACATCCCCTACTCTCGTCGTCGCGCAGGCCTCCGTCTCCATTGAGGGGTTTGGAGTACAAGACTCTTCCTGCAAGTCCTCGACTTCGGAACGACCACTCCCTACAAACTTCAAAGGCCCCTACAAGTAAACCCAAAACCCCAAAACCTAAACCCAAAGGCAACCCTGAACCCAAAACCGGAGACCCCTCGCTGACCTGCCCGCTGACCTCAGTCCAAGCGGCTCCAGAGCAGGATCGGAAGCAGAGCCTACGCTCCGAAACATGTTGATGTGAAGGGCTTGCTTCGAATTATAATGTAGGGGCCCTTTCATTAGAATGATTATTGCGTGGATGGTTATATTGTGATTTTACACGAACTATGCGGCGATGGTATTGCTAGATGTTTAGGCTGCTGTGCTTTTCCTAGCTAACAAGCGGCAGATGCAAGCAAGGTTCTCGCAGCTTTGCGGAGCACGCTAGACACATGTAGCATACAGGTGCAGACGGTCGTCTGGGATGCCAGACTTGCCCTTCAGATCTAGCTTTTGGAACTCTGCGCCCAGAAGCTCCAGTGAAGCTTAAACGTGAAGTCTGTATGTACCGAATCCCCGAGATCTGAAGCTTTGCTTCGCCACGCCACACGGCTACGTCGAAGCCCTCGCTGTTGAAAGCCCGCGTCAGGCGGCAGCCTGCAAGGTGGCAGCTCTTGAAGCCTATCAGCGTGCCATCCCGAAACCCCTAAGAATCTACAGGTTTCTAGGGGGCCCCGCAGGCGTCCGAGAATTCGGAAACCGGGTCTAACATGTTGCAGCATATCGTCTGGGCGCCAGTATGGCATTGGTGGTCTTCATGGTGTCTTGATTGCTCCAGCCGCATGCCTCATAAACCATCAAGTACACCTAAGTACACCTAAACCCTGTAGACTCAACATGATCCTTCACTCCTGAGCCAGAAAAGCGTTCGAAAGCCTCATGGTAGACACAAGCGCATCATCCCAAAAAGCGTACGCCGCCAGGGCGCAGAAGGGCGTGCGGGAGTTGCTCTCCAAGCCATGCAGCAAGATGACCTCTGGCTGAACATGTGCAGCTCTTTTTGATGACGAAGAAAAATGGGTTGTGACTATGCTTTCTTAGCCCGACTCCCCTTACGGCCATTCACGGGTTTTCACTCGAGCAAGCCCCCATGACTGCAAGCAAAACAACAAGACAAGATCTGACAGCACGAGGGCTAGCACCTCAAGGAACAGGTTCCGAAGATAAGGACCTTTGCTCCTGCTATCCCACTATGTACCTATTGTATTTCTGAGGTTCCCATGGGGTTGCCTACACGATTTCACCCGAACTCCTAAACCCTTCTGAACCCTAAGTTTTGCCGAGCAACCACTGGTCGATCGGACCTTGTGGCATCTGGCGCATTTCCTGCAGCGGCAGTGAAGTCAACATCCTCAGCTGGTGTCTCACAAATACAGCATGTTTACAGGGCTTGCCCGGTATAAATATAAATAAATAGAGATATAAAAATAAATAAACATATATATATATATGTATATATTATAGACATATAAATATATATGCTGATTTTATAGGGCCGGTCTTCGGGTATAAACGCGATCCTATCCCTGAAGAAAGGAAAGAAGCAACGGCATACTACTCGGTGTCCTAGAGTTGCGGTGCAGCTCAGACATGTGGCATATGCAGATTCTGGAAAGACATCCGCGAGGCTGCGAAAGGTAGAGGAGTAAAACGTCGCTGCTTCTGCTGGCTTCTTTCGTACACAATCAGACCGGCATGACCCACGACCGCACCTCTTCCACAGAAGGGAGTCCATCCTTTCATGCATTAGGTGAACACGAGGGTCCTGCTCTTCTTCGCAGGGGGGAGGGCTGTTCTTTTTTTTACAGGGGATTCCTCTCACACGAAAAGTTACCTATATGGGGGTTTTACGAAAACAGGGGTACCTTACTGAGGTCCTTAAAAGGGAATCCTACTCTTTGGGGGGTCTATATATTAGGGGTCCCCTATTGTCGCAAACCCCCATATACCTTTCTAGGAAGATTCAATGACAACCCTATTGCCTGCCCGGTGTCGAAAAAGTCGTCATCCGGAGTCTCGTAACGCACACCTGATGTGTGTCTTTAACCTCAAACCCTCTGCCCTGCACCCGCGCCCGAACCTGTGGATCCTGAGTCACAGAACCCGTACAAGCAGGGTTTTGGGTTTAGGATGTAGATCTATAGGGATGTAGGGACCCAATGGCTACTTCTTGGTGAGATCCACTTTTCCACGTTGAACGCTCCCAGGTACGGCTCGAAAACGCAGGGATCTAAAATCGGGGGCCTGTGTAGCTAAAGTTGGGAATGCTGAGTAGCTTTATTCTAAGAGTGATCAAAGGGGTGGGATACTGGCAATCGAAAACAATGGGCATTCAGTGATCCTATATCAACATGACGATGTGCATGATGCGAGGCTCACGAAACTGACATCCTGCGGATTTGATGGTCATGTTGGGTCTAGGGTTTCGGCTTTTGGGTTTCGGGTTTAGGGTTCAGGGTTTAGTGTACTAAACCCTAGGCTCCACAACCTGAAACCAAAATCGAGCCCGGAAATGCCATTGGCTGCCATGCGGCGATGTGTGTCCAGCCCCTTTGGCAGAGCATCGGGCCTCAAAGCTGCAAGTTGCAGAGCTGCTCTTGCAGGACCCCTGGACACTAAACCCTAAACCCTTGTCCCTTAACCTAAACCTCCAACTCTGCCAAAACAAATTTGAGGCCAATCACTTCAACTCGTTGCCACCGTTTTGTCCCCAACTCAACCCCTAAACCCTAAACCCTAAACCCTCTGCCTCAGAGGCTCCTACTTCCGGCGACATTCCGGCGCCTCAAGGTTCTTAGGGGAGCTCGTGGCCCAAAGGACAGCCTAAACCCTAAACCATAAGCCCTAAACCCTAAGCCCTAAACCCTAAGCCCTAAGCCCTAAACCCTAAAACCCCTAGGGGTTTCAGACGCAGTGGCATGGAGACAGAGTCTCCCCGCTTAGTTGCGATCCCCAGAAGCCCAAACTTGAAGAGGACCTCGGAGCCCAGGATCGTCATGACGTGCGCGTTGCGAGCGAAAGCCGCCGGCCTCAGCAAAATTTTGCGGATGATGTGGAGGGGGGGGGGGTAGAGTTCCCTTTAATCATATATATATATATATTTGTCTTGAATATGGATAGGGATGTTAACAGCTCCTTATAATATAGGGATTATACTACGCCCTACTATAATCCCTATTAAGGACTGTCGGTATAGGGGGGAACATCCCAAATCACATATGCCAAGAAGCATACTAAGTCGGTGCTACAAGTGTACCTCCGTGCAACATTTAGCTTCTGATTCCTTTTTGGGTGGGTGGGGTGGTGGGGTTGCGGCAGATATAGACTGGCTCGAGGTCTTGTATCCTCTGTTTACGTGCTGCGGTACGGTACATCGATGGAAGGAGGTGCGGACATACCAGACCAAGGCATGCCAAACAATCATGGTCAGGTCAGCACGACGTACGTCGTTGCTCGGCTGATGTAAGTGCACAGCTGCACAATGCTTGTCCTAAATCATGATGTCGCGATTCAGCTGCTTCACTCCTACGCGCGGAGTCGCCCACGAAGGGTTGCAACTCCATCAACCCACTTCTTCAAACTTCTCTTCTTCGAGATATCGCTCCGAAGTGGTGTCCAAAGAAACCAATAACGATTCTAACGTGGAGCTTGCAAGTCATCAATTGTCAATGGCCTACAAAGAGACGACGGAACTAGACGTTCTCTACATGCCGTAGTTTCCACGTGGCGTGCAAAAAGCTGAAGCATGCAGAAGCTATAGCCGGAAAGCTTGTGACCGGTACTTTGGCTAAACATTGGCAATGCAGGACTATTGCATTTCCCACAGGTAGCTGTGCTACTGCTGTGCTACCAAGTCGCGAGAAGGGCTCCACGTGGAAACTGCCTCAACCACAGTAGCCAGCTTGAGCAGAATGGTAGTTGCAATGGACATGTGCTGCCGGCCAAGGGCTGATGATGGACGCCGACTTCTTCAGCATGTTCTGCATCTGTGTTGCCTGTGAGTTTTCATGTCTAAGGTATGGCTGCATACTGGCTGGCAACTTCTTTGCGTCTTGGCATTTAGGGGTTGAAGGCCAGAGAGGTCCGAGGTCATGCCGGCAGAAACCTAAGAATGATTCACAGGGCCTTGGATGCTTTGAACTGTATAGAGGTATGGCGAATACTGGGCAGAACTCTCAACCATCCTCAAGTTCAAATGCCAACATGCGGTTCCAAATGAAGCAAGAGGGAAAACTAGCAGACTCTTCTATCCTTGGTAGATGATGTTGGACATCGGACGGACTAAGGAATTCTCGGGGCTGATCACTGAGAAGAGACCTGCAAGTCCTGCGAACTTTCAAATTTGGTAGCCCAGAAACCAGGGCACCCTTCTTTGGGTAAGTTACCAACAAGGGAACCTAGAACCAAACAAAGGGAAAAAGGGTACCACCGGGCTACCAAGCAAACAACATGTGTAGGGTTCTTAGGGGAGGGGAGTTCAGGGGGGAAGGTACCTGGGGAACCTTATAAAATGGGGAAGCTCCCTGAACCGTAAACCCTAAACTCGAAACCCTAAACCCTAAACCCTAAGACATGACTAAATGCGCCCAGGCGCGGCTGCACCACGGCTGCGCAGAGCCGGCGTGAAAGCCCTGGCAGGGCAAGCAGAGGACAGCGCCTTTCTGAGAAAGCAACGTGGTTGGGGGTTTAGGGTTTAGGGTTTAGGGCCAGGGCTTAGGGTGGCCAAGATTGCATCAAGGTGCAATCCCGGACCCCACCCTGCAAAGCCTTTCCTTGTGCGACCACCGACCATGGACAGCCCGGCGCCCAAGGCCAAAGAGATCCGCGCCTTGGATGGTACAAGGTTTAGGGTTTAGGGTTTAGGGTTTAGGGAATGAGGACACTGGGCTTCATAGCTTTGGGATTGAGGGCGCGCGAAGTTCTGCTGCTTCCACGATCTAGGACCGAGGAGAAGTTTGAAATTGAGTGTCGCACCGGCAGCTCTGACATTCTGAAACATACAACCTTTTTGCATTCAGGGCCCAGAGGGTTCACACAGTAGAGGGCAACTTGCAATTGTCCAAAGAAGGGGTTGGGGCCGCATGCTGGCTCTTTCGGATCTAGCAGCTATACGAGTTACCAGTTTATCCCATCAACCCTACCTGCCTAAACCCCATTGCCCTAATCCCTCTAAGTCCTCCTGCCCAAAGCCCGAAAAACCAACGACCCTAAACCCAAGCTCAACGCCCAACCCAAACCTGTAAGCCCCTTGACTGCAAACCCTACTACCTTGTGTCCCAGACACCCGCACAAACGCGCATCTCCAGAAAACCCTACAGCCCTGCACTTGAAAGCACTACCATCCCAATCCCCCCCCCCTCCCCGCCCCCTCCCTTTCAACCGCACAACCCTCAAGCCCTGGAAGGTCTAGAGTCCAAGAAATCAAAGCCTACCACCCTCCTGCAGTTTTAAATCCTTAAGTCCTAAGCCCCGAACACACTGAGCATTCTAAACCCTAAACCCTAAACCCTAAACCCTAAACCCGAAACCCTAAACCCTAAACCCTGAACCGGCTAAGTTGCTTTGGGTTCATGGGAGGTTTATTGCGCCAAGGCTGCGCCGGACCGCATGTCCCTCGATGTCGGGCTTGGCCGAACCCCGGGGTTGGTCCTCTGTGGTTTACGGTTTGGGTTTTTGCGGGATTAGGGGAGGTTTAGGGTTCAGGGTCTAGAGTCTACGTGGGGGTTCGTGGGGTCTATAGGTCTTCAGGGGGAGGGTCTCTAAGGTTTAAGGCTTTTCGATGGCTGTTTGGGCTTTAGATGATGAGGGAAGATGCCGCAGGGGCCCTTTGAATCTTGGAGCCCGTGACCTTTTGTTTTCTTACTAAAATCCCTATAGACCCCATGAACCCGAAACAAACGAAAGTGCAGCCTTGGGTGGTAATTCAAGCTCATTTTGGGGAAACTGCTTTGGAGCATGTTTCTGGGGCTTCGCACTTGGTGTTCAGAGTTATTCCTGAGGGTTTCGGGGTATACTGTCCCCTCCTTGGCTGCCACCCAGCACGAGCAGCACTGGGCCACTGCCATTGGCGCGTGAGCTGAGTCGAAGAATACATGGTGCGAAGGTCTTGACCGATGGAATGCCAGCTTGAACCGCCAAAACCTACACCTAGAGACCCCACATTCCACTTTCCTGAACATGGTTGGCAGGCGATTCAGCGCCGCAACCCTGCAAAGCCAATGCAACAAAGCTCTACTCACCCATCCAACCACGATGCAACATTGTTTGAACAGTCTCTTGGGTTTTACACACACCAGCCCTATACTTCGGACCTCGAAACTAATTGTTTCCTGAAGGGTCCAGTAACCAAACTTTTACGTCCTTGTGTACTGTATCTATAGGGCAAACGTATACGTTTCCTCCTGCGCAACGTTCCTAAATCAGGCGCTTGGGAGGAAGAAGCGGCAGCGACTAACGTATCATTGAAACTATGTAAGCTGTTTTGGCTACCCTTCAAAACACGTGGAAAAACTGTCATAGAGATCCCTAAAAGGTCGGCTAGCAGCAAGAAATCGGAGGCTACATTAAAGGAACTTAGGGTTCACAGGGGACATCAGACGGGAACTGCGTAGGCAAGCTAAGCTACGTAAGGATTGCGAATCACATCAGTCACATGCGGACGCAACATTCAACGGCATCCCCCTGCGAGCCTTCCTACGGGATGTGAGAAGCCAGTGTCCAAGTGCGTAAAGCCTGAACTGTTCAGAAAACAGGCTGCTGAGGTTTCGGCGTGGGATCTAGGCTTTTGTGACCTTGAAATCGCCCTGACAAGGATTTTCCTCCACATTCGTTGCTGAGTGAAAGCGGTCATTGGATGGCTCCAGGTGAGCTCCTGCGGTTACAGCGTGTCAGACATTTCAGATTGAGAGTCTCGACTGAGAGAGTCTAGGTTCTCGGGCATGCAAGCAACTCCTTTGCGTGCAACTACACTACCAAGGCTTCAGCTGCTGCACTGCTAGACTGTGTCTCCAGCCTTTAAGAAATCCAAAAACGCCCCTAAGTGGGATGCTCTCAAAACACAACTACGTACATGAGGAGGAGCACGTAGTTGTGAATATTCGAAGTGCAAATGAATGCGTGGGATGGATGTGATTCTGGCAAAGGCCCTTGTAACCGTTGATAAGGCATCCGGTTGCATGGTCTGTCTTCCGACCACTCCCCACTCCTACAAGTGCGAGCAATGTCGGACCTCTCGCGTCCCGCATTCACAGCGATTTTCTACGCTGTGGTGAACTGGCGAGTTAAGCCTGGCAATCTTGCAACAGCATCCGAACAAAGACTACTTACTACATTAGCGCACCCCTTGAGAAGCACGGCCATTACGCCATTGAAACCATCTGGGAATCACAGCCGGGCATCTGTCGCGTCCATGAAAGCTAGTGGTCTCAGAAGCTTTGACTTGCGGGAAACGGCTCCACTCTTCTTACAGGCTTCGGTCTTCATCAACCCAGCACCTGTCACAGTTACATACATACAAATATACGTATATGCTAGACCCGGGAGTAACCTAGGAATAAAAGGGTGCCTTTTTGGTTTTAAGGAGATTATAAGGGAACCCCAACCCTAAAAAAAGGAAAAAAAGGGCCTACTCTCGGTCCTAGTATGCAAATACATGCATACAAGCTATATACGTTGGTTCTTCGCATACTAGCAGTTCAATGTGTCTCATCAAAGGACACAATTCAGAGTTTGTTTGTTTTTTCGGCAGGCATTCCGAGGACCCTTGCTTTTCCCTTCCTACTTCTTTCCGAGAACTCACGCAGCCTACAACCGAAACTTTGAAGGTATTAGGGAGATGCCAGATGTGTGAGGAGTCTTCTGCCCCCCGCAAGTCCGCAACAGTCGGCTCTGACTGGGCTTATCGGGTGGCAAGCACTTCCAAACGCACCCCCAAAGACGAGTTTGGGGAAGGAAAGGCCCCTTGGAGGAGCCCCTTGGTGGAGGCTACTTGGAGGTTCATGGGTACCTAGAAGTAGGGTCATATATGCACCCTAAATAAGGTTGTAGCTAGAGTTATCCTACTCCTAACCCTGCATATAGCTACCCTACATATACCCAAGCCCTGAACCTCCAGGTAAGGATGTAGTTGAGCTGGAATATCAGGCTCAGGAATTATAGTGGGGCTAACTAAGGGCTTCTCCACCCTGCATGCGTTTGCATAACGGTCTTCTCGCACGCAGATGCACACTGCTCTTCTCATTCACTCATTCGTTCATTCATTCATGTCCGTCATTCCTTCAAACACACACAACCACACACACACACACCCCTCCTTGCTTCGAGGACGCTCTCTCTCTCTCTCTCTCTCTAACTTGAACCCCCCCAACTACAAAGGCATACCAGGCTGTTTTGAGGGCGTCCCAGACATCACAAACCAACCAGCGCTTCATCGGAAGCATCGGCTTGCATCGGCACCCCTCTAGAGCCCAATGAAAGGCTTCGAAGCCACGAGTGGGCCCGCACTTCCAAGCTGAATCGATGGGGATGGCCTGGTATCTGGCTCGCATCGCGATTTATTTGCTGCGCGCTATATATCTCGAACTTCGCTTTTTGCACGATAGGCGCATTTGCCTAGAACCGTCAAAGGCTTCTGGTTCTGGTGGGCGCAGTGGGCGCAAACATGTAGACAGCCGCATGATTCCAAAATCTTACAGATGTTTCAAACAAACCCGCGAACATCCGCGGACATCATTTATGCTTCAAACATGCAAACGCTCATGAGGGAGTTGTGTCATGTTCAAGCCCCAACCTAAGAAGCCAACCAAACAATATGTCATCTCTTAGGAAAGTAGGGGTACTTACGTACAGAAGGTTCTGTAGCCAACTGCCTGTGATTTCGCCAGAAACCCGATGTCGGTGCTGTACTCGGACCCTTCGGGGTTCTCATGGAGCAACTTGGCTCGGGGATTCCTCAGAGGAATCTTACCAGTTCTGGTAGGGAAGTCAGGAATTAGGCACCTCATATCCCCATGGCCCATATACACCTCTTGAAAGGATTAGGGGACCCTAAATTTCAGAAATCCCCGTCTGGAATTGGTTGACCGCCCTTTGCCACGGCATGCTTCTTCTGGCTATGTGGAAGCGTAGTCACACGCAAAAGCTGCAACCAGTGTCAACAGCCTGCTCAATTCCTGAACCAAGTCTTAACAAGTATGCAGGCAGGCATGAGGCAGCATGAGCTCATGTACGAGTAGATATACATGTCTGTTGGTGTGTGTGTGTGTGTGTGTGTGTGCTTTTGTTGTATGTACGTGCGCATGTACGTGTACGTACAAGCCCGTGCATGCTCGAATGTATGTAGACACACATGTATGCATGTATGCGTGCATATCCACATCTGTTGCATTCCTGATGTGCATCCACGTTTGTTGGCGTCTTTGTCAACCGGCACAAAATGCTGTCCTGCACTCTGTAATGTGCACATGGAAGGAGGCAAGTGTGTGTATGCGTATGCATGCATATACCATCTGTAAACACATGTTGCAAGAACACACATGCACATGCACAAATGAACATATGCATATACATATAACTGAATATGCATGTAAATGTACGTTTATGTAGAGATACCGATACACATACATATACATGTACCTGAAATTACACACAAACACATACATCTGCATATACATGCACAATACATGCACGCATACGCTTGTGCATCCCGATGCCCAACTGCACGAGCACATTTGTGTATGTATGTATGTATGTATGTGTGTGTATGTATGTATGTATGTATGTATGTATGTATGTATGTATGTATGTATGTATGTATATATATATATATATATATGCGTATGGATATGGGAAGTAGAAGCAGATTTCACAGTACATGCGCATCAACAGACACGCAAATGGACACGTGTGCTGTACACCGAGCGGACAGCGACATGGGACCTACCACATGCACGACAAACATACAGACACGATAAGGGGCAAGCGAACAGACAAGCAGACCAGACCGACAAAGAGCCACAAACAAACATTTCGGGCCATATGCTCCCCCCCACCCACCCCCCCCCCCCCCCCCCCCCCTCCACCCCCGCCCCTGCTCCTGACAAACTATCCAGATCTATCTAGATGCGATAGCCGGGCTGCTCAGCTCAACCAGCAAAAAGCAAGGGGCATCCATTTGCGGTAAGAGGTTAGCGGCCACCGATCCTGCCCAGACAACACACTGCAAAAGTGGGTTGGGGGATTCTTTGAAGTCACAATACCCCATTTGCTAGACCCCCAGCTACCTGATTGTTGGGTACTCCCAAGTTCTCCTCGTAATCTAATCATGTACATATAGTAGGTCCTTCGGAATCGCCTCAAGACTTGCATCGACAGCCAGTCCATGCACAATCTTCAAGCCGTTCGGTGCAGCCCTAACCGCTAAAACCTGCGACCCTAAGGCATCCATACCCCTAATCCACAAAAAGATCATAAACCCTCGCCCCAGCCTTGAAAAGGAATGCACGGGCATATCATTGGTAGTTGCTACTGTGGTACGACAAGGTTGAACTTGCAGATTGCAAATCTGGAGCATGCGACTTCAAAAATGGTTCAGGGTAACCTACACGACTACTACGAAGAACAGTAACCCCTAAACCCTAAACCTTAAACCCTAAACCCTAAACCCTAAACCCTAAAACTAGCTGAGGGATCCTGCGAGAACCTGAACTCCAGAGCAACACCGAGCCTTGGAGGCTCGTTTTTGTTGGCGCCGCCTTGGCAGCAGTTTCCCTTCTTCTGCTGTGCCTGGCGCTGCCCAGGGGCTTTCCCCACCGGTTTAGGGATTGGGGTTTAGGGTTTGGGGTTTAGGGTTTAGGGTTTGGGGTTTGGGGTTTGGAGTTTGGGGTTTAGGGGTCCACATTTCCTAGGGTTTTCGGAAGTGTCCCAGAATACATGCCCCTTTGGGGGGGGTCCCAACCTTATAGGCCCCTAACCCTGAGCCCTAAACCCTAAACCCGAACCTTAAACCCGAAGTTCCTGTTTTGGGCTAGCGTCTCAACTCAATCGGCGTAACAGATACTTCTAACACCCCAAGAGTCCATGTACCTTTCATATTTTCATATACTTGGGCCTTGCAGGCGTTCCTATATAGTAGCTTTGGGGCCCGAGTGTATGCTACATAGGTACATGGATCCTCAGGGACAGCTGTCTGATTCAGACAGCTGATTCGAGCGACTCGGCCCCGAAATCGTAGCCCTGTTCGTGGGGGGCGGGGAGTTCAGAAATAGGAAGCTTGCTAAGGCACATTGAGACAGAACCAATCAAAAATCAGAAGCACGCCCGCCCTAAACCCTAAAGCCCAAACCCTAAATCGTACGAGTAAATCCTAAACCCTAAACCCTTAAATCGTAAACCCTAAACCCTGTAAACCCTAAACCCCAAACACTAAACCAGAGACACGCAGCCACAAGCTGTGCCGGTGTGACGCCGGGCGCACCCCCTGGCGCAAGACCTGAAACATTCAGCAACTTTTCTGCTCGTGTGATTGGGGTGCAGTCTCTCCTGCTTCTCTTTCTCCGGGGTGATCTTTTGTGGCACGCGCAGCTGCTATCAGGTCCGAATGCGGAGTGTCTATGTGGAGGGTCACTGCGGAACTTGCTGGTCTCGCTTTGTTTTGTGGGGCTTATAGGTGTTGAGCTAAGCTTTAGGCATCCTGTTTCAAGTCACAGCGTTTGCAACCCACACGACAGTGACGGTAGTGTGGCTTCTAGCTCTTCGGCAGAAACCGACTAGGTCCGCAAGGCAGACTCGCTGTCCCTGCTACATCGAACAGAATGAGCAGTTGGCTCTAGATACCACCGTCACCCGGCAAGATGCTCGACTGCTTTGAAGCTAGCTACTTGTGAGCAAGCCTGTGAATCCTTGTCCCATGAAGGGGGCGATCTTTTTGATAAGGGAGCCCTTCTCCCAAGGATGTGCAATCGCTGTACAGGAGACAAATGCACAACAACCTCCTCTTTACCCGATTGGTGTTACCGAGGGATGCGCCAATGCCCGAAGGACCAGCCGCCGATTTCGGCTGGGCTTTCTGTCTCCTCCTGCGTAGGGGGCTGAGGGCTTTGACTTAAAGCCCTACGCCTCGAACCCCAAAGCCCTAGCTAAGCCATGGGCGGCTACAAGGCGAGGGGAACAGAGGATAGCTGCGGGTTCTAATAAGGCTGAGGGTTTACAGACTTCGCCTCGCCTGGCCTCCCCCCCCCCCCCCCGCCCAAACAGAACAATGAAAAAAAAACCTTGTCTGTAAACATAACTAAGCCCTTCCGTGTTGGGAAGTCGGGGTTCTCTCAGGGGAAGCCGGCTGCATGACACGAGAGACCTTTGGGGAATCATGTCTTTTGCTGCAGAATCTTCAAGACTCGTCCCCCCGGGCACCTTGTGAGCAACACCCCCCCCCCCTTAACGTCCATAACACACAACATCCTCTTTGTGGTCTAGCGGGCCCAAACCTTGAAGCCCCTGAAGGCTTCCGAAACTCATTAAATTTACATATGCATATATAATTATTTATTTATTTATATATATATATATGTGTGTACATAATCCCGAAGCCCTAAACCCAATTTTCGATTCTCCAGCTTTCCAAGGCCCAACCTCATTTCGACGAGGTTCTGCGCAGCAGTCAAGAACCTGAACCAGGAACAGCGATCAAACATCTGACGCTCCAACTCGAAGCGATTTCTTTCACACAGAGCCAACCCGCAGAAAGCCATCGTAGGGTTTAGCGTTTAGGGTTTAGGGTTTAGGGCTTCAAAAACAGTTTTTGCATCGCCAAGAGACGCCATGTCGACGTTGGCGGCTGTCTTGGCCTGACACAGGAGCCTAAAACAGTACCAGATCTTGGCCCACTGTGCAAGTTATGGCAAGAGCCCTGGCACAATATACCCCATTTCGACATCAACAGGCTTTCACCGGCTTCGACCCTGAACCAAAAAATAGGCCCCTTTAGTTGATTCGATTGGCGTGAACTTTGCGCTTCCTAAGGTGACTGTACGGACTCGGCTGACAGTCGAAATTCTTACTTGTCCTCAACTGTGGTGCCTGGAGTAGTAGAAGAAGTACCTTAATTGTTGGTGCATTCTCCCCTTTACAAGGACATAGAGGTTACTCTAGGAAACCCTTACTTGAAGAGTCCTCGCTCATGGCCGTCGCTAATTCAGTTTAGGCGTTCAGTGGTGCTCTGTACCATCCACCCTTGAATCCAGTAGAGACGAAGTCTGCAACGGCCACAAAAATGGCAACGACCTTAAAGACACGCCTGGGGCAAAGCAAGACCATCGTGAAGAGAACTATAGCCAGGCAGGATGCCAGCCATCTACTACTTGCTTAAGAGCCCTTCCAAAAAACAAATTCACACAAGTGCTTATATTGCCCTTATAATGAATAATGCTTTTTGTTTTTTCAGGATATTAGCTTCCCATCTTTTAGTCCCTGAAGCTTCCGAGGCTTGCACGGAGGTTGCAATGAAGAATGCTCCAATCTGCTCTGCCTGCCATCAGCTGCCGTTGAGGTCTTAGGGTTTAGGGTTCAAGGTTCAGGGTTTAGGGCTTAGGGTTTAAGGTTCAGGGTTCAGGGTTTAGGGTTTTAGGGGGCTTGGGGTTTAGGGGTTGAGGAGAACGAGCGACTGAAGACTTCAGCGGACAATCGACTTCCGTCTCCATGGGTTCAGAGTACCCCTTCACTCACCCAGAGCGGCTCAGGCTTGCAACTTTGCAAACCTGTGGCCCTATGAGCCGTATAACCCTGTAGAATCACCAATCTGCATAGTCCGGAAAAGCCTAGAACCTTCACCGCAAGCCATGACCCCGCAACCCTCAAGCCCCCAGCACCACAAATCCCACGGCAGTCCATGCAGCAGCTGCAAGTTGCATGCATCATTTTCAGACTTTGGTCTTCGGTATGAACCCAAACCTTGAGCCGTGTAAGCACATATAAACCGAGCCCGGAAACGACCGTCCTTAGGAAATCTGCAGACCCCGATTCTAGCACCAAGGGCTCCGAGTTTGGGTCCTCATAGGGCCATAGAGCTTTATCCTCGAAGTGCCTTCTTCGAAGTGCTAAGGGTGCAGGGTTAATCCCACCCCCCCTGCCGGCGAAAAGCAACCTTGCAGCCCTCAACCTGCAAATCCAAGCCTGACACCCTCAACCGGATCAACCTGAAAGAGCTTTGCCCTGAACCCTAGACCCTAAACCCGAGACCCTGAACATCCTGAACCCTGGAGCCGACATAGGTCTTCAACTCACAAACCCAGATTCCCAAGAGCTTGAGGACCTGGATCACATCACACCCACTCTTCCGTCTAAGGCAGCGCAAAAAGCGCGGACACCCTAAAACCCTAAACCCTAAACTTCCCTGGATTCCTGAAGTCCTGAACCCTAAGCCTGATCCCTAAACCCTGAACTTCCCTAAGTCCTAAACCCTAGCCCGAAACCCGAAACCCTAAACTTCCCTAAGTCCTAAACCCTAGCCCTAAACCCTAAACTTCCTTAAGCCCTGAACCCTAAACCCTAAATCCTAAGCCCTAAACCCGAGAATGCCCGAAGTCCTGAACCTTTCTCGAGCTCCAGGAGCCTTGGCCCTTCCCTCGTCCTCCGTGACCTGGAGTTCCTCCATCATGTCGCTTTTGTTACCGACCTTGGGGAGGGGTTTAGGGTTTAGGGTTTAGGGTTTTGCATACTTGTAACTCTTGATGAAGCCTGGAGTGGGATAGTGTAGGATCTCAGAACCACATAACACGCCTGGGGTATCTCCTCGGCTGCTTTAAGCTGAGCTGTGATAGCTTTGAAGGCGCAAGCCTCGACAACTCCTGGCCGCACCCCTGGGCCGCTTTTCGCTCCTAGCGGGTGCGTAGACTCGCCACCAGTGTGGGAGACTTGAAAATGCTTATTGAAATCAGCATCTGCAGATGATGAAGTAGAGCGGGCATGCTGGCGAACTGACCCTGACTCAAGCAAAACACCTGCTTCGGCCAAGCACCGAGCAGGAAGATAAGGCACAAAAAGGTCCATTGGCATCTTCAGGTGTACGGTTCTACATGGGGGTTTACGAAAATAAGGGACCGCGGAGCCCTCATATGCAAATAGTAGGATTCCCTTATAATAGGGACCTCAGCAAGGACCCCCAAATAACGTAAACCTCCACATGTCAAGCCGCCACATGCCTGCCACCGTACAAAGACTGACTCTGCTTATTGAATTCTGCCGCAGGCGGCTTCGACAACTTTTGCGACTGGCCGCCGCTGTACGTGAATTGCGGATTGCAACCTCGGGGACCAAGTGAACCCTACAAGGGTTTCTGGTTCAGATACCTCAAACCCTAAACCCTAAACCTCAATTAACAGGGATTATAGCAGTATAGGGTCTATGACCCCAACTTTCGGGTTCATGTGGTCCTCAAGGGAGGTCCACAGCATCTGGCAAATGCCTTGGCCCACGGGCCATACATCTTTGCTGTATGCGGCGACCTTTTCTGCCCTACACACTTCCTTGGGGACCAAATGAACCTCAAAACTACCATAATCCCTACTGAGCTGCGGCGGAGGTGCTTTTTTTTAGCTGATATGAACCATAAACCGTTTTAGGGTTCATTTGGTCCCCAATGCTGGAGTTTCAGAAGGTCTGCGAATCACTTCCCCCCTTGCTGCTCCACATCACACGATCAGTGCGCGTGCGTCCGCCTTGCCCAGAGCAAACAGACTCTTCATGGAGGCCCAAAAGGGTCACATAACATTGAGGGAGATAAGTCTCTGCTTAGCCGCTGAAGTAGCCTGTAGTTGGCTAGCATATCGCGGGCAGCATGAACTGCATACCCTAAACGCCAAACCCTACGCCGCGAGCCCTAGAACATGTTAAGCTGCAAAATAACAGTTAGTTTCACGTGACTATAATGTCCCCACGCGCAATACGGATAGAACCGTGGACGGAAGCCCTGCAGAAAAGCTTTGTCGAATCAGGCCCTAAAAACCCCAAACCCGCAAAATGCCCCGCCTCCTGTCCGCTTGGACATGGAAGCCCTGCACAGCTGGCGGCCACAAAGCGTGTGGGAGCCCCGGACAGCCAATGGCCAAAGGCATCCTCCACAGGTGATCGCAGCTGAAGGCATCGTTGAAGCCATCATGGCATGAGGGTATAAAGACTGAAAAGACATGAGGTTTTGTCCAGAAAATATGCTTGGAGGACGTTGCTGAAGCATGTCTCGGGGGTGGACACGAAGGTTTTGCTATGCACGAGCGAGAACGATTTAGTCAGTCCATCACTTGCACGCGTCCATGTGCCCATCCCCACTAAACCCGGCCCTTCTCCCAGGACATGAGGATCTCGGTACACTGGCCAGACTACACCCTCTTAACCGTAAACCAGACGTGTGACCTTGAAGGATACGCCCGAGATGCTGTGATCCGTGCCAGCCTCAGATGCAGTCGGTCTAGGTTAAGGGCTTCGGGTTTCAGTGGCTGGTAGGGCTCCCCCCAATAAATGCCCTTTCAAGGCATCTAATTCCCTTAAAACAATCCCTGCTGAGAACTAGAAGCTGCAGGGAACATCGTCACAAGCAGCGTCAGTAGTTGCTGTAGGCATGGCCGCAAAGGACATGAAGCCACGACAAAAATTGACTCAGCCATGAAATAGGGGAAGCGAACGGCTTGCCTGGAGCAGCCCAAGAGCGGAACACTAAGCTCCCTCACTCTGCCTGGTCCATGCCTCTTGCTTCATTATTAAAAGGGGAAAGAGCTCAAAACAGCACTGCCCCCCCCCCACCCCCTCCCCCCCCCCTCCCCAAGTGCTCCATAACAAGCTGGGGAACAAGATCCTGCATCAGATCGTCGGTGTGATCAAACCTGCCCGCGAACACTGTTGAGATGCTTTGCCATCACGGCTTCTTGGGTTGAGTTCAACTGAAAAGCGACAATCTTCTTCCGCAAGCTGCAATGAAAGCTCCGACAGCAACGTCATCCCAACACTTCCTGTCGAACCCTTGCCTGCTTGGAGCGTAAATGCCAAAGCGCGAGTTGTTCTGAAATGCAGCCTCCGGCTGAACATGCTCGTCTTTCACACTTTAAGGGGGGCAAGTCGTGTCATGCCACACGCGCAACTTCTCTACATGCAGCTCCATAGGGTGGCTTACTCTTGCTTGGCCGACATCCTGTCAAAGGATGCACCTAGACCCGCAATTGCAGTGCCTGCTTTGGGTCGTCTTTCTTCTATGGAATAGTGGATTCAGAAGACTGTGCCCCTCCCCACCCCCCCTTCACAAAAAAGAAGAAGAGCCAATCAGGGTCCAGGTCGAAATGAAATCGGCATGCCCTGAGCTCTCTCTCTCGGCAGGAGGCCCAATAGGGAGAATTGCAACAACAATGTGTCAACCTCGTGTGAACCGTGAACTCCTGTGGTGCCATCCGAAAGTGCTTGTGGTGCTGGAGGTTCTTGTGTTTCGAAGTGAAAGCACCCCAACTATGCCCGAAAACCTGAAAATCCTGACAGAATTCTAAAGGCACCGAAGCCCCTAAACCTATACCCTCAAACCCTTCCGCGCTAGGGACAACCCAAATTCAGAGTAATTACCCCTGAAACCCTTAAACCCCCCCCCCCCCCCCCAAAAAAAAAAAAAAAAAAAAAAATGGCGCCAAGGCACGCTCAGCGTTGCATTCGTCAAGCGGCCCAGTAGAGCAAGGTAACCTTCGTTTCGGTAGGCTTTAGGCTTTAGGGTTAGAAGGGAACCCTACAAAAAGGGGAACCCCAAGAATTCGGTAGGCATGTAGTAGGAATGCACTATTCTGAGAAGAGCCAGCTCTTCATGTGCAAGGCCGAGTTTGGGAATGTAGGGCTGAGTGTAGGGCTGCGGCGAACTTTGAGTGCAAAAGGCTGCAATTTGACTACTCATAGCAAGCTTACTCGTCGTAGGCCCCCTAAACCCTAAACCCTAAGCCCTAAGCCCTAAGCCCTAAGCCCTAAACCCTAAACCCAAAGCATTTAGCAGACCCCGAGCCTGGACCCCTAAGCCACTCATGCAGCGAGGCAGAACGCATCTGTTGCCAGGGCACGCCCGGGAGCTGAGGTGGCCGGAACCCCAACAGAGCAAGTCGAGGCAGGGCAGAGTCCCAAGTGCAGTACTTGGTACCTTCCAGCAGGATGTGGATTGTCCGGCAATTTAGGAGCACACCGGGATTTATGCGGCAGTTTGAGAGCATACCGATGCTGCTTCCGTAGGTCGTTCTGGACCGCGAAGTTTCTGGCACGGCCTACTTTCAACTCCCAAGCCATCTCCCTACAAAAGTCCTACACAGGCAGGCTCTTTCAAGTCAGGGGCCCCTCAAGCGTTCTGATCCCGAGGCCGTTGGCCTTGGTTTTTTTTCTCCTCCTTTTACGCGCAGCACGCTCCGCAGCTAAATCGCCGTGGCATGGCAATTCATGATGCCATCTGCAAGTCTCAGCAAGCAAGTGAGATGCGCATCGTTGGCACATCATCGACATTTCATGGGACAGCTCAGGCTCATCTTTCCACAGGCGAATGGCACTTACAAAAGTGGCTGCTCAGCTTCCCCTCCTTGAAGTCTGGTCAGTCCCCCTCCTTTCGTCTCCTTGTATTCCGGGTTCTCACGAATGGCGAGCTCGGCAAGTACGATGTACCCCAGGGAGCCTGGTTCATGGTTGGGATAGTACGGAAATTTAAGATTTCCATTCTTTGAGTTTAAGTAAACCCTAAACCCTAAACCCTTGAACATGCAATGAAAATGTTACGCCGCTATGACGAAGGAGCAGAGGTAGGTGGCGCTGTAGAAAGCCGTGGCCTC